CGGCAAAGATTTGAGCTGTACCTCGACGCGACCGGGGGAGCGAGCAAACCTGCCAAGGTACAGTCCTCTCTATTTCTTCATGTAGCCGGTGCAGAACTGGTAGAAGTATATAATACCTTCACATTTGAAGAGGATGGTGACAGAAACCGTCTACCAAAAATAATGGAAAAATTTGAAGAGTACTGTAACCCAAAAACGAACATAACCTATGAGAGATACAAGTTTTTCACATGCATCCAAAGGGACATGTCCATAAGCCAGTATATCACCGAGGTAAAGCTGAAAGCTGAGTCATGTGAGTTTGGCCAATTGCAAGAATCCCTTATCAGAGATAGAATCGTTTGCAGTATCACGTCGCATGCGATGAGAGAAGGGCTGCTAAAAGAAATGGACATTACTCTTGAAAAAGCAATCCAGTTATGCATCGCATCAGAAACGACAAAAGCGCAAATTAAACAAATGCACGATGAGGACAGAAATGCACAAAACTCAGCACGTGAAGGCAAGCAAGTAGATGAAACAGTGAAACAGAAGCAGACACACAAAAGAGAGCGACAAAACGAAAGTAAAGTGAGCGAAAAAGCTACGTCAGGCACGTTTAATTGCAAAAGATGTGGGATGGAGCATGCCTCACGCAAATGCCCTGCATAAGGGAAACAGTACAAGAGCTACAGGAAAATGAACCACTTTGCTAAAATGTGCAGGTCGAAGAAATTTCACGCAGTTGAGGATGATGATGTCACACATCACAGACCGAGTCTGTCAGAGCCATTGCGTAAATTAACTAAAGATGAAGTTTTCTGACAGTGGGAGGATGAACAACAGTGTGCGTTCGACAAGCTGAAAACAATGCTTACAGAAACTCCCTTACTCAGATATTATGATGTTAAACTTCCGGTAGTACTGTCTGTAGATGCATCGAAAAGCGGACTTGGTGCTGTTTTTCTTCAAGAGGACAAGCCAGTAGCTTATGCTAGAGGAACAAGGTATTGTCTTGATTCAAGAAGTAAGGCTACTGCAGTAAACAGCTTTAAGGAAATTATCTAGTTATGGAGTAAAAAGTTGGGAATCGAGAACTAAAGGGGTGTATTGAGAAGTGAAAGAAATGTGTTTTGAAGGAGATGATGTAATCACAAAACTGATCACGAAAATGTCTAATTGTTTTTACCTGATAATGTATTAGGCTTAACAGAAGTAACTGGTGTCTGTAGATATCAGAGCCCTCCCAAAACTGTCTGTAAGCTGTCGCATTTTTGGCTATATATTTTTGGCACCTGTTGTTCAGGGAACAGATCACAAGACGCACGAAAGATTCCCGAGTGCCTATTCCCCAAGGCCTTGTGAAAGAAATCAAGTTTTGTCAGACTCTTAAATTAATCGACTTCTTCCAGATTACCACACTAATACCCCAAGAGCAATGAGGTTTAAGGGCCTCGGTCAAGAGACGAACGGCAGCTTTATTCTGCCAGTGACTCAACATCAAGGTGGTACCTCTTTAGAGTAACACTGTACAGTGACTGCTGCTGAAGAGATGTCATTCTACTAACTTTATGTTAATAATTAAAAAGAGGTCAATTATAATTGCTTTATTATACACATAATATTACACTACATTAATGCATTACATTAATATAAATTATCAGCAATGCTGGACATGAAAGTTATATCTTTTTTATAATTGTACAATAAGAATATGAGGACATAATAATTAAAGTTTAGTGGAAAATCTGGTTAAGTGGTTAAGATCCTCATGATGACGGCTGGTGCCTTGTGTTCCCCGGACTCCCAGTTCAGTTTCCACAGTCAGCAGAGTGGTGTCACCATTGGGTCCTTAGAAAGGCCCCTAACCTGGAATTGCTCCAGAGCCGTCTGACATTGCTTTCACAAAGCATGTAGGCTGTGTAGCATTGAATAAGAAGGTGTCTATCAAATAAATAAAATGTGATGGACTAAACCAGTTAGTGAATGACTGACAGTGGGGTGTCTCTCATCGTTTCTCTCATCGTTAATTGTATAATAGGTGCACATAGCAAAAGCATATGAACTGAAGCCCCACGACCGCATGACATTTGCACTGGATACGGGCGGTGTGAACTACAGCGTATTGACACAGAAAATGACGCTGAACGGTAGAACTTCCCCAGAATTTCTGCGATTATTATTGATATTATCTTGCTGATACTGTGAATAAAAATGCCTCCGAATAAGGGTGCAATGTATGAGGAAGAAATGGGGGGGGGGGGAAATCTCTTAATCTCATGTCAGAAAAATCAGTAAAATGGCCAATAAACAAAGTTGACTGACGATATGGAGGAAATCCATGATCTCAAGTCTGTGATTACAGGGCAGCCAACTTTGGTCAGCTGGCTGGAGTGAGATTTTCAATCCGAGACACGTCTGCACACACATACACATGCATTTACATCTATATAATGGTTTCTTCATCATGTACAGTGTGTGTAGGCTTTGCAATCTACCCCACGCTTTTGATTTACCTCATTTTCGGTTTATAAAGGAGCAATATAGATTATCCGTGAGATTTATTTTGTGAGCGTGAAAGTCTGAAATCGTGAGTTTCACGCCGGATACGATTAAGGAAATAGACCGTAAAACCGGAGATCTAGAAGGTGGAGCAGCTGAGATACTAATAAATGGGCTTGAGAGGAAACGTCAAACACACGCCCAGACTGCAGCTGGTGGGAAACTGATAAGAGAAGAGGCACCACAGGCTGATTTTTTTTTATACTGGAGCAACAGGTAATAAATTACTTCCACAGTAAAAACATCAGTATCCTAAGCAATGAAATATCAACCTGCTACACTCATCCACAGAAGGGTGATGAAACAAAGCTAGTGCTAATCAAAAAGCTTAAAACCAAACTACCTGAACTTCGGTGTGAATGAACACTTCAAAGAAAGCCGAGACAGCAAAACAGGCAACGGATGTCGAGAAATCAAAATTAAAATTATGGAGACTTGGACTTGCAACTGCACAGTACGGATTTGCGAGAAGCAAGTGACGGATCAGAGAGATTTGGTGAAGTATAAAGAAGGACTAACAATCCTTGCGTACAATAGCAAACCCCCTCCTCTGTCTTAAACTTACAGCCTTCTAGGCACCGCTCCTGTTCCCTAACTCTTACCCTGCAGACACAGAACAGATACACAGTGTGAGGCTGCAGGAACTGCGAGCCACATGCTAAACATGATACTGATGCAGCCTCTGGAAATACAGGACTGGTTACCACTGCATTGAACAATCAATCATGCCCTGAATACTATGCTGAAATAAAATATATGCATATAGCTATGCTGTTTGAAAAATACTCAGATCAGAATTAATTATGCCAAAAGCTTAACTTTGGTTGTCACAATAAAAGGTGTTTGAAATATCTCATTTTAACAAAACTGATATGAGGACTAAAACACCATTCTAAATGGCATTGTAACTTACAGTAAATGTAAAAACCTACCATTACATTTGTCTAATGCTCGACACATCAGAGATAAAATTCTGTCAATTCCGACAGTAAATTCTAATAGGTACGTTTAAGGGGGTGGGAGCCAGACCTTTCCCATATTTTGCCTTATTTGGTGAGAAGACCTTAAATGGATTAAACAAATGATGGTTATTAAATCACGATCATCAAAAACATCCGGCATCCTAAACAACCAATATATGCAAACCACATACATCGCGCGCATGTGTGTATGTGTGGATTATGTTTATAGGCCTATTACATTGTGGGGACCAAAGTTATTTTGACGACGTAGGGACCATTTATCAGGTGCCCACCAAGATCCGTGAATGCAATCAAAAAACTAAAAAGGCCAAAAGTTGTTTGGTTACTTACGTTTAAGGTTAGGGCTGGGTAGTGCTTAAGGTCATCATGTTGGGATTGGAGTTTTCCCCATAGAAATTAATTGAAAGTCCCCACCATTATATAATTACAAACCTGTATGTGTGTGTGTGCGCGTTTAACAGTATGACATTTTAAATTGGCAAAGTGTGCTTTCAAAAGGCGCAGCTAATGAAACCTTTTAACTTTACATGATAATGTCAATCACTGTAAGTCACCTTAGCACAACAGTTTTATCAATAACAGATGCCATACGCAGGCCTATTTCGAATCTTACCTGAAACATACGAATGTGCACAATCACCAATCTAATATACTCAATAAAGTTTCTAGATGAAAGTCAACAGCCTTCATAAGAAAAATGTTGCATACCAGATACTTTACAGAATACTTTTAATACTTGTACGTGGTGCCAGGGTTAGGAATTAATACTCATGCTATTTCCCATCTTAACTTTTGGTATTTTGAGATGACACACATCTCTAATTGCAAATATAGATCAGAAGCCTGGCAGATGAGTTAAAAATACAGGTTTATCACCGTTTTGAACTTACTTTTGTGTAGTCCCCTTTTTGTGCGGCGTGCATTTAAAGAAAACAGCTGGAAGCTCTGTCTTCCTGCCTGCCGTAAAAGCAGAGCAGAGAACAGCGATCTGGATGTACGGCGCTTCACCTCCGGAGGAACAGCAGTGATGCGACTCGCACTTTTCTTTCTGCACTCCGCCTTAGCGACCCTATTCCCAAAGCCTTAATTGGTCATATAAAAAAAGTGCACGGCACGTTTTTCTTCTTGACAAAAGATCTCTCGCTACAAAAAAGCGTGACGTGATACGGATGACTACGCCTCTGGATTTTACAAGCATGATGTAACCATACCCCCCTCACACACCCTTTCCCTAAACTGAGCCATTATGTACGACAGTGAACTTCCATTCTTCGAGATAGATTTTTATTGAACTTCTCTTTGGGTTTTCCAGTCCATTGGGTTTTCCGGTATCTTCCCGCATATATGTTGTCCACCAGGAAATTTATTGCATATTAGAATGGAACAGAAAGTTTTGGCGACCACTGTAGTACAGTCCCTGATGATATCTGTTTACGGTGTATAAATAGCTAAAGTTATGGCCAATAAAACACAGTATTGTGTAGCGACTAGTTCAAGCCGTTTATTAGCAATTCCATTGAAAATGTAACATTTGAAAAAAATTGTGTTTATACAGCATATAATTTTAACATTTAAATTTGCTTCAAAAGATCAAGTTACTGATAACTGTAGCAAGACAGACATGAAACTATGCATATGGCATATAGTAGAAATACAAATTTATTTTCTAAAAATAGAGTATAACAAAATGATTTGACTGTTTGTTATTTAACATTTTCAATACTTCAAACTGGCACAGTTGCATAGAAAATATTAGTAAATATTAAACATTCAAAGAAAATGATATTTTTATTATAGGAATTTTAAAAAGAATAAAGAATGTTGTTTCGGCAGATTTTACCATACATAAAAAAGTAGTATGGTACTTGACATATGCTTGTACAAAGGAAAGAGTAGATTAGCTATAGATATTCAAAACAAACAATTCAGTTTCCAAAAGATTATGTCAGGCCAAGTTATAGCTTTCTAGATATACATATTTTTCACATGATTGGCACATGACATTATATACTTTAGCCTTTGCTAGCTTACATTAAAATTTTGCATAATTCCTGATATGGATCTTCTGACTAAGTATACATGCATTAGAATCACAATTAGCTCCCACTTACTCAGTGATTGGACATTTTCAGTCGGCACTATTTTTGCCCACCCAGTCCAGTTGGTCTGAAGCCCACCAAAAGAAGAGGGCTCCTACCACAGTAGTCAGACATATCTTCAGAAAGGACTTTACCATCCAGGAAATCTGAGAGAAAAGGGAGAAATATGCCACATACATAGCGAGTGGTGAGGTTCTCAATCAATACATCATTCTGTGAGCATTTAAGTGGAGTTCTGGAGAAAGAGGACTACAGGCAAAATAAGGAAATATTAATTCAGATGGCTGTAAATGTAATAAAGATAAAACTTTACAATATATATTGAATTAAATTATTCACTATACAACTAAATGATTACTAACTTTTATTTCTGGTTGTTCTCTGTTCAACAGGAAGGTATACTGACACATTTGTGCTTTTCTGTTACCTGAAAACCTGAAACCTGGACAGGATGGGTAGGCAAAAGTAAGGATATAACAGGTCAGGTCTGGCTCAGCAATACTAAGCAAATAGCAAATTGCAGAATTCAAACCATTTTGATTTGATTTTTGAGGTTATGTCACCTGTTACAAAATATAGCAAGTAACAGTACTATATGTACTACCCAATTCCCGACCAAGGAATTCGTAAATTAATAACAATAGTTTATTTTTTGGGGGAGTGGCTTTAAAGTAAAACTTCATTGTTTAGTTTGGGTATGAATGCAAATTCGCAGGCCCTTTATTTCTAATCTCCCCTACTACAGTACCTACTGTAATACTCCTTTGTTCTCTCCATCCCACCTCACTGCTTAGTGGTGAACATCTGTAAATGTTTCGAGCCTATTTAGGAAATCCTTTTAAAGACTGAAAGCCAACAGCGAGACCAGCAAGTCATCCCTATGGGTTTATGCGTGTATGCATGTGCATGTGTGTGTTCTGGCCTGGAGCCCCAGCTAGAGTGGAGGGATGTGGAGGGAAGTAGGAGGGAGAAGGGAGTAGAAGGAAGTATAGGAAAGAGACAGAGTAAAGCTCCAGGCTGCAAATACTGCTGTAACAATCGGGACAAAAGACAGTGCCCAAGATTGTCAGTGTATAGTTGTGTGTGTCCTGTGATGGTCTGAGATCCTGTCAAACATCCAATGGTAAGATTCCCCAACATTCTTTCCTTAGTGATTCCTGGCAAGGTGCAAGACCTACAGACAAATCTTTTAGTCAGATTAGAGGAAATTACATCAGCAATTTATTCAATGTAAGCAGTATGAAGTAGATTCAAACTTTTACATTTAAAGAATTGTTTCTACAGATAAATAAAAATCACAGCTCATTAATGACAGGTCCTGCTTCTGCCGGAAAGACTTCCCACCTCCCACCCGGTTTTGGGGGTTAGCATATGATGTTGTTGCCTAATATGATCCATCAAATCTTTTTTGAGTTGTCATGCTAACAGGATCAAATGTCTGAAACTGCCCTTTTCTTTGCTATCATTCTTGCCACATCTTGAATTTTGATACGATCTGTCTCAAAATATGATCACTTCCAGGTTGTCATCCATAAAATGTGATTCCAAAGTTTGAAAACGATCCATCAAATGCTTTTTGAGTTATCATGCTAATTGAAAAAGTGTCTGCAGAGGCAGATCAGTCCCAAAACCACATGTGTTCCCTGTATTCCCCCGACTTGCCTTATTAACAGTGTTTACTCCTCTCTTCTCACTTCATACACTATACACATTTGTACCGCTTAGAATTTATGGGACTCTATTTATGCTTATATGTAATACATATGTATCAACAGACACATATTGCTTATGTGTATGGGTGTCTGTGCCTGTCCTTATGTGGGCGCTCAACTCAAAGTCTCACTTTAGACAGATTCATGCTGGCTTTAAAAGGTAAATCCACAAGGAGTGAAGACTGAATAAGGGGACAGGAATTTCCCCTGATCATTTCTCTTTTAAAAGACAACTGGAGAATGATTCTGTCATTCACAACTCTTTCTTTCTCGTCTGCTGTATGTGTCCATACTCTCAAGGGTTTGTTGGCAAAATATCTATGAGCTGCCAAGAGATAAAATCTTGGACATGGTCTATTTTGCAGAGTGTAGCAGCTAAAACACATGTACACACCACTGGCTGACCTTCAGGTGTGAGAGTTTTGTTTCTTGTCAAGCTCACACTAGATGAATCCATCACTGGGCAAATAATAAAATTTTATGAAATGTGGTGGCTAGATTCAAAAGTCGGGAATGCTCATGTAAACTAGTGATTCATATAAACATGAGATAATGAAGTATATATGTTAACACAAACTGCACATAGAACTGCGTATCTGGAATATGCTACTAGGTTCATGGAAATTTTTCCCACCACAGTACTTGTTCAAAGTCAATTTCTAATCAGCCCTTATTATACTGCATTATGAAATTACCAGTTCTGAACTGATCATTTTAACATGGAATGAAGTTTCAGCTTCTTTGTAAAGTCCAGCTGTCAATCTATCCAATGATCACTGAATAAATCATTTTAATATTGCAATACAGAATGATATGTATTGTCCACATACAAACAGGATAAACACTGTTAATCCAGGAGTTTTGAGATATTACTCAGCAAATTTACATTGGTTACAGATTAATAGTTTTGATTGCACATTAATGGTTATTCTTGGTTCATAAAACATTTAAACTAAGTTAATAATCTGTAATAGAGAATAATGGGGAAGATATCTCAGAATTTGATGAAAATATCTCAAAATATGCTATCTCAGAAGTAATTTCTTTTCTTAGCTAATTTGCATGTGCATAATCCATGTTAAAGGTAAACCATGACTACTGTAGGGTGTTTAGCTGACGATCCATTTTTTTGGTTGTGATTATGGTTATTATGACAGCTTCTAAATGGTACAAAAATAATTTTTTTCCTAGAACTAAGTGTAAAAGTAAAGACACACACACAGAAACACACTCCTGGTCCATTCCCAGATTACGGTGTGGCCCTGAAGATCTATAGGCCATTCCATCTCTCCAAAATGCCCCCCAGGTCTCCCGGGAACTTACAGAGGCTCCTTGGCCTGCAGCCGCTTCAAGAAACAAAGCCTTTTAAGGTCAGCCTGCTACCAGCAAATGTCACATGACGTTCTAAACAACTACAATGAAAAAAATACTGGGCTTTATTCCCAAGAGACAGACAAGGCTACAGCTATAGCACTGCAGCTCTCAGAAAGACATTTAAATAGCTACCTTTTGTAAATCTTTGAGTGAAATGGGGTAATTGCTGTAAACAAAAGTGGAAGGCATAAAAAGGTAACAGACCTTAACTTAACTCACTGTGTCAGAGTTCTGCTGGTGACATAATTCTTACCATATAATCACAAAATATGTATATTTTGTGATTATATGGTATGCATTAATTTCAAATGCATTAAACATATTGATGGACTACAAAATGAAAACATATATGCCCAATTGTAGTTTCCAGTCTCTACTAACTAATAATATCTATACAGTTAAATAATAATGAAACAACAGCCAATAACATGTGATAGGTCAAATTTCCTTTTAAGATACGAGTCAGATAACTAAACTAGGGACTGAATTAAAACACATCACTCAGATTATCAGCCAAAGTACGTGAGCAAAACCCCCCTTCTTCACAGCTGTTGAAGTGAAGCCATGATTCAATTCATTCCAGATGTGTTTTCGCATTGAGAGCTGCTGTATAACATTAAACCAATGAAGATCCTTTTATTTTGTGTGATATACATGACAGTCCTAATTTAGTCTGTAAGTAAGCTGTCAGTTTTCTGGTGGTAATGTATATTGCAACTTTATTTGCTTCCAGCTCCATGTTTTAAAGGCAAAGTCCTTCTTCAATCATGAATCCAATCTCAGTATATCTCTTGTATACAACTCTCAATAAGGGAGTGTGAAAGTGCGGAATGCTGTCACATAGACATTGTCCCTGCACACTCGCTATTATTCATGGTTTATGTCACCAATCTCCTTCTTCTCCCTCCCTCTGTTATTGTCTCACTCTTTCTTTTTTACCTTCATGGGCCCATGGGAGGAGCATTACATGGAGGGGGGGGGGGGGGGGGGGGGGGGGGGGTGGAATGACAAGGATGTGGAAAGAGAGAGACTAGAGCTGCAGCAGTTTTTCCATGTTTGGAGTGAGGAATGTAGAAAGGTCAGGATAGAGGCAACAGTGAATGACGGTGGCTGCTCTCCGGCTTCCCAGCACCCCCCAGCCAACACACACATTCACCCACAGCTGCCAGCAGCTTCTTTAAACTGTATTTATATGATAACAACCAGACACACATGCAAAACAGCCAAGTGTTCACTTGCGGCTATGGTTACATGAGTTTCCATGGAAACAAAATGCTACAGTGGCTGTGCAGCAGCACATCAAGACTGTAGATTGATGGATAGTAAACAACATGTACAATATAAGAGATACATATAACCGGGGGATCAAATGGGAGACGTGTGAATGAGACTTTCTGCACTGCTAAGGGACAGCGAGGTCCAAAACTGTGCAATTAATTTCTGATGTTTCCACATCGCCTTACACACTCTCTCACCTGAATTCTACCAGCTGTTTTGTATTCCTGTTTTGGTTTGATTAATTGCTCTATAATAGACTACGTAACTGGTCTAGCTAGTTTTAATATTGAGCATTACTTATCCTTGATTTTCCCCAAGTGCCTAATCCCCCTCCTGTGTGGTTTTACATGCATGTTAATTGTGACCCTTTGCACTCTGTGCTCTGATCTCATCCACAAGTGCGTGCACCAATTTCCCAGTGTCTGCACGTGTGACTGCCTCCATCTACGCCCCCCGGATGGATCTTCTCACCTTCAAACCCACCTCACACTTTTTTCAGACAACACCTTACCACAGGCATGTTTTGGGGCACTGATCCAATGGGACATGGGTGATGAGATCGGCAGTGTGCTTCAACACAATCCTGCTCCACTAACCACCCTTGTGAGTAGCACGCACACTTTATTAAGTTCTGGGTATCCTGGCATTTGGAAGACAACACAGCTGAAGAGTCACTGGTATTGCTAGAAGATGACATTCAAGACTGTCTCCTCCTGCCTGTACCTGCTCCCAGTCAAAGGCCCCACAACAGTCCCATCTGCCAAGTCCAGCCACTGCCGATACCATCTGCGCCCCTGGTCAAACATCACTATGGATTTCATCACTGACCTGCCCATCGTGATTCTTGTTATCACCAAAAGGTTCTCAAAGATGTACCAGCTAATTCCCCTGCCCAAGTTGCTATCTACTCTAGAACTGGCGCAAATCATCTTCCAATAAGTCTTCAAAGTCAACCTTAGTTCACGGCTACGTTGTGGCGAGCCTTCTGCCACAGGATGGGCATCTCACTGAGGTGTCCTCAGGGTACCAACCCCTCGCAAACAGGCAGTGGGAGAGGCTGAACCAGGATAGTGTGTTAGGGTACCAGGCCCTGCTTTACTCTTGAAATATGGGGCCCAGCGACATGCCAGCTGTGGATGACTGGTTCATGAGGAGCGGAATGGTCACCAGCAGCTCATGTTCAGGTTTCCTGCGCTGTGCGAAGACAGACGCTAATTGCCGATGCCGTTCCTTTCTGCACGTCCTGACTGAACAACAGGTGTGGGTATCCAGCTGAGGTATCCGGCTCTGTCTCACATACATTTATTGGCCCCTTTAAGATCCTCTGGCAGATAAATCCTGTGATCTACCACCTCCAGCTCCCTGTCAGTATTCCGGTGTTCCATTCATTGTACTCAAGTCTGTTTGTTACAGCCTGATGCAACCACCAACTAACCAGCCAGTGCCACTGCCCCTTCTGGACATCGATGGTTCCCTGGCATACACCATTTGTGCCATCTTGAAACCCTGGCAGTGAGGTGGGCATCTGCAGTATCTTGTGGATAGGGAGGGCTACGGTACTGTGAGAATGGATCCCGACTCCCCAAGCCCCCTCATCCGGTCTCTCACACCTGAATTCTAATGGCTATTTTGCATTCTGGTGTTGGTTTGACTAATTGCCCAGGCTATATAAACGGTCTAGCCGGTTTCCCCGTCCAGTTCCCAATTGTGTTACTTAGCCCTGCTTCTTCCCGAGCACCTGATCCCTCTCCTGCATCGTTTCATGCCCGTGATACTCCTGACCCCCTGCTGGTGACAACAGTCGGTGGCATGTAGGTTTTTTTTTTGAGAAACAGCACATTCAGGTCACTGGATTAATACGAATGACATTATGGTGCAATATGCTATAAATGATTGTTATAAATGATTGCCGCCTACAGCACTCAAAGCACGCCTTAGCAGATTAACATGGAGGATTACAATGGCAGAATGTCACGTGGATGCATTTGATTTAAAAGGTATTAATTGTGTACAGTTCCAGTCGTTAATGTTGATGGGCCTAAATACATTCAAATGCATTCATTCATGTTGACAAGATATTCTGAGTTTCTTCATCCTGTCTTCTGGTACAGACATCATTCTAATTAAGGAGGCTCTGTGGCACGTGAATGGGGCAGTTTAGAATAGATGAACATCCTATAAGGCACTTAATTAATTATAGGAGGAGTATGTTCTCTGGGGTTGATAAATTTCCGTGAATTTCATTATCACATTTCATTCCAGTAAATTTAATCATTTTTTCATTTCCTATTTAAAATTTTTACTCTATTATCCATTATCTATTTGTTACTCCAATAACTGCGGTTCATAACTCAGTTTCTGGACTTCTTAACATATCAGTGAATTAACAGCATAGAAATTTACCGTGTCATTCTGACGATGAATCTTCAGCTCTCTGTTGAAATTCAGATGCTCCCTTTGAGTGGCAGAAGTCTGCTGGAGAAGGGAACAGTTCTGTCTTCGTCTGTAATCATCACTGTCCTCCTAAAACACAAACATCCACAGTAGTCGAGTTGTAAAAATATTTCAAGGGGGGTGATGGGGGTCAAATCTTGGGGGCTACAGATACTTATTTTTTGGTTTATTCTTTATATAAGTTTACCAGTGCATATTAGCAGAATGACCGTATATCATTTTTTAATCCTGTGGAAAATTTAATGATGAATTATAAACATGTCACAGGCTGAGACTTTGAGACCTTTTCTTAGTGGTGAATGATCTTAAGAAATCCCTCGTCCTCCACTATGGAAGATGGGTAATCAACCAATCATCTCCATTCTTGCAGCAGTTCTCTTCAGTTCTGCTGGTTATGCCTGTTTTTAGGCATAGGCGAACTTTCTCTGTCTCCTTATAATAATCCTAATAATAATCCTTAAGGGTAATAATAATTCTTCAGGGCACTATATGTGTCTGTGAACCTGTAAGTGTGCGTGTAAGTGTGTAAGTGTTTCTCTGTTGATTTATAAAAAAATATTGGTTCAAAATGGAGTGTTTAACGATCCACCTGGAAACATGCGATCACCTACACGCTTTTTGACCTAAGTGCCGTGGAGAATCAACCCCTTTGTTTCATTTTAATTTTGATTAACAAAATGCTTTTAGCCTTTTGGGCTCTGGGATAGGCTCCCAGAGGCGGTTACAGAAAATGGATGGATGGAGGGATGGATGGATGGATGGATGAAAATGCTTTTGTTGTGGTTTTTGTTTTAGTATTTGATAACAATAAAAAAACCTTGGTGTAGATCCATCGAGATGTTTTATTAACCTCACCTCCAGGTCCAGGAATTGTGTGGTTTGTGAAGTAGGGTGGTCCTCTACACTGTCTGAAGAGCTGCTAACCCCATCTTCCAGGTCACTGCTGGAGAGTCACAAGGTCGACACATCAGATCAGATTATTCTGAGAATCTTGGCTGGCAAAGTAGTATGTTTGGCAACTTGAAAGGCAATTATTTTGCATAGTTTAATAACAATGAGCATGAAGCTGAAACAAGCATGGAAACTTATTTGGACACTATTTGAGAAAAAGTGAATAAGTATTATAAAAATATTTGCATCAAATAAATCTAAAGTCTTAATGTACTAACCTGGAGTCACATATAAAGTACATAAATACATACAGTCATATTGATGATTAGTGGGTATTAATATATGTATTTCACCTTGTATACAGGAAATACAGAAAATCACGATTTTAAAGATTATTTTGTTTAAAAGAGAATGTTCCTTGCACTAACCTGCTACAACATTATGTTGATTATTTAACGTGTGTCAAAAACATATATTAGGAAAATAGATAGACAATATCACATGCAGCTGAGTATTTTGGAAGCCATTCTTCTCAAAAGGGCTTAGAGCAGGGGTGCCCAATCTTATCCGCAAAGGGCCAGTGTGTATGCAGGTTTTTGGGATAACCTGTAGGTCAGCTGTTCAAACCCAGGTGTGAGGACTCTTCAGCCAATCAGTCCCCTAATTAGTAATCTAATTAGGGAGTTGCAGCGAAATCCTGCATACACACTGGCCCTTTGCGGATAAGATTGCCCACCCCTGGCTTAGAGTATCTACCAAAAGGAACTTATTTGGATTTTCCAACGATATCCAAATCAACAAACAGGTTACTTAAAAGTGCTTTTTTGTGGGGAGGGGGAAAATTCTAGAGCAAGATTATAAAAGACAAATCATTTCTGCTCTGAGTGTTCTTTGTCCGCTAATTCCTAGCTGGGCTTGTCAGACTGTTTCTGTGTTTGTAGGTACGTGTCAGTGCACAGCTGCTTGCCTTTCTGAGTCTTTCTGAAGGATGGGCTCCAGGCAGAATGTCACAGTATGCTTCTTGGAATTTCGACCTAAAAAAAATGACATTTTACTTGTTTTACAACCTAGGGTTCATTTGAGAACTTACTTCATTATCAATTGGCATCTGGTTGGAGGATGGTCATGCTCAAAGTGAAAGAAACAATCCACGAAAGAACAACACTCCGCAACATCTTTTTTCAGAATACAATATGAAATGAGTGCTTCTTTTTGCTGACAAATATGTCGCTGGCAGCCATATATTTTAATTATATAAAATAAATAAACGGATACTTTAAAAACAATAGAGCAGAAATTGTTTTATACTATTATTAACCTATATGCAATAATCTTAGGCTTTTCCCTCTGATTTGCTGACTCCTGGATTCAATCCCCTGCATATGAAGATGTTCTTGGTTTTTTGCATTAGTAGCATGTAATTAAATCAAATGTGCATTATAAAGAGAATATTGCTTCATACAGTGCCCTCCACAATTATTGGATGGCATCGTTTGCTCATTATTACTTAAGGGTAATAATCCTTAAGGGTAATAATAATTGTTGAGGGCACTATATGTGTCTGTGAACCTGTATGTGTGCGTGGGTCCGTGTATATGCATAGACCTGCAAATGCATGCTTTCTTGGGGTTGTCAGGCCATTTGGTGTTTAAAGAAAGGAAGAGGGCATAAACACTCATGTTGAACGAGCCACTAGAAATGTAAACAGTGACATAAAAGCCAAGAAAAAGGCACAATGAAGTAATTTGATTTCCTTTAGTCTCCCTTTAGCACTATCACTGTTCCCTTTAGTCTCCCTTTAGCACTTTCACTGTTTCCTTTAGTCTCTCTTCAGCACTATCACTGTTCCCTTTAGTCTCCCTTGAGCACTATCACTGTTCCCTTTAGTCTCTCTTTAGCACTATCACTGTTCCCTTTAGTCTCCCTTTAGCACTTTCACTGTTCCCTTTAGTCTACCTTTAGCACTATCACTGTTCCTTTTAGTCTCCCTTTAGCACTATCACCGTTCCCTTTAGTCTCCCTTTAGCACTATCACTGTTTTTCTTGCCTTTCCTCACATATTCCAAAGTGTCCCTTTCCAAGTTTTGCTTTTTCATTACTTCCTCACCTCTCAGTCCCTGCCATCCTGGACTTCTATTAATACTTTTGGATGGCTAAACCTTCTAATGCATCATATTAATTTACTTTAATTTTTGCACTAGAATTTTATTTAAAACATGATCTTTACATTGACCATTGTAATTACAGAGCCACTTAAGGTAAGTGAATTTAAAAATTGGTTGACAGAGGCACAATATTTTATGTCATACTTAACATTTACTGAGACAATTCTACAACAGATGTCAGATTTCTGGAGAGTATTTTTGATCTGCTGTCAGGGTTGGTTGCCCTCTGACCCCTCCTCCTGTGTCCCTCCCCTTTGACCAGCAAGCGCTGCTGGTCAGCCTGCCTTTCTCTCTCTCTGTCCTTCACCCTTGTGTGTTTTCCTTGTTTTCTGGGCTGTCACATAGCTTAGGGAGTTGAGCATGTGGTTTAGAATCCATGGGCTTATGTTTATGGGTTTGACGCTGGCTGAGGCCTGTCTCATCAGTTATTCTGTATTTATTGTTTTGTTCCCTAGTGTTTTCTGTTTTCCCTTTTGAGTTTTCCTGTTCTAGGTTTGTCTTCCTTGTGCTTTGGTTGTACTTTGTTTTCTTGTTTCTTTTTTTTAGTGTAGTATCTCTTTGTTTTCTCAGTTTTAGGTCTTGTAGGTTTCTTAGTTCTGTGGTTATTAGTATTAGTTATTTTACCTGTGCCTTATCTGTTTTCCATTGCCTGTGTTAATTGCCCATCTGTTGCCCATTGTCCTACCCCTTCAGTGATTGGTTGATTGTGTCGATCTGTTTTTGTTTTGACCCCTTGTGGTCTGTTTGTTTTGATAAATTTTCCTCAGTGTCTTTGAAGTCTCATCAGTAAAACCCCTGCTGTCTCGTGAGCCGCGAGTGGATGGTCACTCTCCTTTCTGCCTGTACCAAGTCATGCTGCCATAAAATCTGCTTTTCATCTTAAGTTGAATGGTTATATAGCAAATGTTTTTGTATAAATTTAGTGCAATCGTGTAATGATTTTGAGATGAATATGCATACACTGTGTATCACAACAAAAGAATATCTACTGAAAGCGTATCATAAAAGATCATCTGAGCATCACTCACTTCTTTGCCTTGTGTCACAATCTTGGTCATCATTGTCGTACTGATACAATGTTTCAGTTCTATCTTTATCTTGTTCATAATCCTCCTCTTCATTGTAATTTTGAGATTTCTGCTGCTGAGCATCTGTAACATTGCATGTTTCATATTGAAACGAAACATCCGTGAGCTTTTCCTCCTCCGACTCTGTCACTAGGCTTATTTCTTCTTCTTGATTCTCAGTTTCAGCTAAGCACACTTTCTCAAATATCTCTTGGCTGTTTCTGGTCTCAGTAATTAGAGGATCTTCAGCCCAGCTGACCTTACCACTTTCATCTTGTACATAAAGGAAGTCACCATGGGTCACATCAAATACCATTGTGTCCTTCTGGGGTTCAGAATCTGCCAAATCTCCTTTGTCTATCTTCTTCCATGCAGAGGAATATGTAAGCTCCATTACTTCTTGTACACCCTCAGCCATCTCATCTTTTACTGGTCCGTTTTCCTCCATACCTTGGTCCTCTTTTCTTAAACAGTCTCCTTCTGAATCTTGTTGTTCAGTATGTTTTTTTTCCAAAAACATGTTTTGCGGTCCGTCTCTTACATTTTTCAGAACAGCGCTCTGTTCCTCATCAGGAATATCTCTTGCTGTTTCTTCACTCTCACTACATTCATCGTGGATCTCTGTGTGTCTATCTAGAAGCTCCCACTCAAGTATTTCTCCTCTCAGTTGTGCAGTCCCTTCCATTTCAAGCTTTGGTGTCATCCACATTGATTCAATTTGCATGTCCTCCACCTTTTTTGTTCTTTCCCCTTTGTCTTTTTGTTGAAAACACTCTGAGGGGTACTCCGCATAATCTTCCCCAGTGACACCCTGGTCATCCTCAGAAAACTCTTTCATGTCACCTTCAAATTGTGATTCAAGTAATCCTTGAAAAGCAGTATTGCGTGCATCCTCATTCTCTAGAGGAGACCACCCTTTAGAAAATTCCGTGCTTCCAATACCTGTGGCAGACAAGGTTTCCTGCTCACCTTCATAAATTTCTTCTTCTTTGCACTTTGCATGAGTTTTTTCCCCATCCTCTTGCCTATCAGCCTGAAGGGAACAGAGACCGTGATACAGTTCCTCATGTTTTCTTCTACTTCCATCATTTCCCTCTTCTTCATCAGTGACATAACCACCCTTCCCACTTTGTGCATTTTCCATGTCTTCCTCTTGTTCCTGAGAATATTCCTTCTGTTTTCTTATCACATCAGATGAGTATTCAGGGGAATGATCCATTCCACCACCATCTTCCTCTCGATCCTGAAAATATTCCTTCTGTTGTCTGTTCACCTCAGATGGGTATTCAGTGGATATACCCATTACAACACTCTCATATTTAACTTCTCTTGAATCCAACTCATCACTGCTTGATTCTTCATCAACCACATCCACCATTTCATCTCTGAAATCCCGGTTCTTCTGCGTATCTTTCTGTGCAACAGTCCCTACTCTATATTCTACTGAGCCCATCTCCTCGTTACCTATTTTCTGCATCTCCAGTACATCATCTTTATCTTTTTCTTCACTTGAATCTTCCTTATTTCGAGATTCTGTTACAGTATCCTCATATTTGTCTTCTTTTGAGTCCACCTCCTCAATGGTGCCTTCTTGCATATCATCTTCATCTCTTTCTTTTCTTGAATCACCCTCATCACTGGATTCCTCCTTTGCATCCACATCCAGACTCTGTGAAATTCTACTCTCAGCCCAGCTTTCACCTTTTGGAAAAAGGTCTTCCTCGCATATGCTACTCAAAGCCTCTTCACTTTCATCCACCTCTGTCAACACTGATAGCTTGTTGTTACCAGCTGTCTTGTTTCTTTCCTCATCACCTTCATCAAAATTTAGGCTGTCAAAGTTTAGGTCTTCTTCTTTGTAAGATGGTAGAAATGCGTCTATAACAAAAATGCCACACTTAATCTCTCATGTAAAGTTTCAGTTCATTGCAATCATCAATTTTCAAAGCCATTCATTGAAGAGGATGGGATGGATGGGGATCTTTCATTTAAAATGTAACTTCACCCTCTGTTGTTAAGTTCCACCAAGAGGTATTTCTGCTTTACACACACTGAATATAGCAATTTTATTGATTTTTGGACACCTTGTAGAACTGTCAGACTGGTAAAGCCATTTTAGTAAGCTTAGTTTGCTGTGCACATACATACACTGTATGGACAAAAGTATTGGGACATACCTCTTAATCACTGAATTCAGGTGTTTCATTAAGACCCATTGCCACAGGTGTATAAAATCAAGCACCTAGCCATGCAGTCAGGTTTACAATCATTTGTGAAAGAATGGCTCGTTCTGAAGAGCTCAGTGAATTCAAGCATGGTACTGTCATTGGATGTCAACTTTGTAATAGGTGCGTTTGTGGAATGTCTTCCCTGCTAGATATTCCACGGTCAACTGTAAGTGGTATTACTGCAAAGTGGAAGTGTTTAGGAACAAAAGGCAGGGTGGCCGAATGTTGAGGCACATAGTGCGTAAAGGTTGTCAATGCTCTGTTGACTCAGTAACCGTAGAGTTCCAAGCTTCCTCTGTGATTAACCGCAGCACAAAAACTGTGCACTGGGAGCTCCATGGAATGGGTTTCCATGGCCGAGCAGCGGAATGCAGCCTCAAGTCACCAAGCACAGTGCCAAGTGTCAGATGGAGTGCCACTGGACTCTGGAGCAGTGGAAATGTGTTCTGTGGAGTGATGAATCACGCTTCTCTGGCAGTTTGATGGCTGAGTCTGGCCTTGGCAGATGCCAGGAGAACATTACCTGCCAGACTGCATTGTGCCAACTGTAAAGTTAGGTGGAAGAGGGATAATGGTTTGGGGTTGTTTTTCAGGGGTTGGGCTAGGGCACATAGTTCTATTGAAGGGAACTCTTAATGCTTCAGCATTCAAGACCTTTTGGAAGTTCTATGCTTCCTACTTTGTGGGAACAATTTGGGGAAGGCCCTCTTCTGTTCCAGCATGACTGTGCCCCAGTGCAGAAAGCAAGGTCCATAAAGACATGGTTGGGTAAGTTTGGTGTGGAAGACCTTTACTGGCCCACATAGAGCCTTGACCTCAACCCCATCAAGCACCTTTGGAATGAACTAGAATGGAGATTGCGAGCCAGGCCTTCATGTCCAATATTAGTGCCTGACATCACAAATCCTCTTCTGGATGAATGGGCAAATATTCCCACAGACACGCTCCAAAAGCTTGTGAAAAGTCTTCCCAGAAGAGTGGCAGCTGTTATAGCTGCAAAAGGGGAATCAACTCCATATTGATGCCTATGGATTTAGAATGGGATGTTATAAAAGTTCCTGTAGGTGTAATGGCCAGATGTCCCAATACTTTTGTCCATATGGTGTATGTCTCACATATTTTGTCATCTGGTTGATTCTTCTGATTTGCCTTTATAGAGAGCTCCAATCAAATTATTGCGAATAAATATCAGTATATAATGATAATGAAATGATGATGGAGCCTCCCTAATTGTACATCATCTGCGAAATCAGTATTTCGGATCAATCAAATTAAATGTTGCTAATAGAGTAATTAAGATTGGAAATCGGCCGATTTATATTGGCTGCCAATCAACCAAGCATGTCTAGGACACACCTATTGAAAATCATTTGTTTTTCAGCAACATAATGACCTTTAGCACACCTCAAGGTTATGTAGTAAGTATTATGTTGCAAGTTATCTATGGAGTGCTGCGAGATGACTTGACCCTCACAATCCCCCAAAATGAACATTATAGAGCTGGTTTGGGATGCTCTGCATCAAAGAGTAAGACTGAGTTAGCCAACTCGTGCCCAGAAAAAGTGGAAAGTCCTTCACTATTGGAGAAACACTATTGGTTGCTACATTGGGAAGCTGGCTGGAAGAATGCCAAGAGTCTGCAATGCTGTCACCAAAGCAAAACGGGGCTATATTGAAGAGTCTAAAATCTGAGAAATATTTTCTTTACATAATTCCATGATAGTATAATTCCAGCAGAATCAATTTCATATAAGTGATTATTAGATAATACAATGTAATGTAATCTAATAAAAACCTGTATGAAGTCACACTGAGCAAATACTCAAAACATTCATCCAGTTTGGTACATCATACAGTCTTTAGCCATTAATTTGAATTACTTTGTTAATGTGAAACTGAAATAATTGTAAATGATGATGGTTTGGCTCATGCCGTGGAACTTTTGTTACAACTAATAAAATTAAAATAAGGTCTAGGAAAGATGGTGAAAACTAAGTCTTGCCTGAGAATGCATCGCTTAAAAGGTCAGCAATATCTTGCTCCATTTTTATCTGCAGGAAATATTAACAAGTCAAATTACATTTCCTTACTGCTAATATTGCAATTATTATTATTTTTTAAAAATCACTTTCTATTAAGTACTATGCACATTGAGTGTTTTAATATCGTACATATGCCTGTCATTACAGCAAGAAATATGGTTTAACAATAAAGCATATAGTTATACTAACAGGAATAAACATTATAATAACATATGAGGATAAATGTGCAACATTGTCTGTACTTTCTATGCAAACAGTGGATATTTCATTGGGGCATATTTTTTTCTTGAAATAGCCTGGTAATATATGTCACTTTTCAGATCACATAAGATTACTTTTTAACCAACATAGTCTCCCATCATACAAGTAGAAAAAGTATAAGCAATCTTAACCCCCTGTGAAATAATTTATTTGACACTTCTGTTGAGTTACTTATCAAGATGAAAGGAGAGAGGCCTTGGTCTTACCACTGTTGCTTCTTAAAGCGATTTCCTGTTAAAAAGGGATGCAAAAACAAGAACACAAAAAACAGGCAAAAATATGCAAGTATTGAGGTTTTTTGTCAAAAATGTGTCAGTCAAAAAGAAAAGTACATTTCTAAAGTTGTACATCCAAAGATATAGAAAAACATTAGATTAAAAAGAGACTTATATTGTTGTTCTGACTCTAGTTGCACTTGCAGCGGAGCTAACAAGGACTAAATATGCATCTTTGTGGTTTGGCCTACCTAGGCATGCAACATACGTCATCAGCAATAAGATTTTTATTTCCTCCCTACACCCCCCTTTCCACAATGCTCCGCTTTTTCGGTTTCTTTCTTTTTTCTTCCTTTTTCAAATCTGTCAGCAACTGGTATTTTTGCTGAAGCTTTTATTTTTCCTTTTTTCAACTAAACGGCATATAACCTTTTAATAGCTCCTACTTGTATGCAATGAATAATTTGCAGATTGCTGGTACCCAGTGATCTGGCAGCTTCCTTCCTGGTTTGTGAACAGCCACCGCAAGGCTGAGCATTACCCTGCACTACATTTTGCAAAACCTCAACTGCTGCCATAATACACTGAACTTACACGAAAACCAATTTTTGGTTCGCAGTCTTTGGATTTTACTTTACTTATTTTTCTCAGAACAATAAACATCTAATCCCTGTCACACCATCCCCTACCCTCTGAAACGAAGCATATTGTGGGTGTTTTGTTGATATTTCCTTGATTTCATTCTGGTTTTAACGTCACGTTATTATGCAAATACTGTGACCTGGAGAAAAAGTTCACATAGTTTTTCATGGGAGTGAATTGCCCATATTAATCACACTCCCATATTTTCCTTATATATTGTTTTTATAATTTAGGATATATTAGAAAATGCAACTACAGAAAAATCTGTCTAAAGTTTTATGTTTTAAGTTCTTTGGAATTGGATCCCACTAGTTATCCCTAAAATGTTAATCTATCAAATTAATTAAATTTTTTATCACAACAATAACAAGTGACGATAGCCATATATAACAGCGACTGTTTCTTAAATATGTAGTCTGATTTTAAAGATTTTTGAACCACCTGTTTTCACTCTTCCCGCTTTTTAGATTGAGGTGTTTTACTGTGGTGATGGAAATGAGTCAGCATGCACATTGGCTCCTGTTTCCCATCCCTATGCGTAGCCCACTGTGGTGGTTCTGGAGGACCCGGGGAAGGGGGGGATACCCCCATGACAACAAATATGGCCCCGTCCTTCTGGGCCCCCTTAAATGTGTAGGCTACTTGAGCCTGGAATAAATAAATGTAGACTAAATGTTTTGTGCACTGGGAATGGGTGGATCACAATATGAATCACATTTTCCAGTCAGTGTTTTAGGGTTAAGATTTTATTGATCTCAGGGGGAAATTCTGGTGCATACAGCAGCCAGAACGTAGTGCACAGATGAGCATACATATAGTGCACAACAGACAAGTGGAAATACAGTACACATAGTGCAAATAGGTAAATGTGCATGGTGTGACCAAATACAAAAAAGTACACAGTACACAAAGAGAATATCCTGAAAAATGGAATATTGTAGAATTATGGGAATAGATGCACATTTACAATAATAATAATAATAATAATAATAATAATAATAATAAACTAGATGTGGTACTGTTGGAAACGACAGCACTATTCCTTGACAACCCTGTAATCAAAGCCATAGTCGTCCAACACACAACTACTTCTACAATTTCAAGAATGATTGGATGGATTACCTGGAAATGTAAAAGTTAATGAAAGTGTTTTTACCTAAATGCTGTGAGACCTTGTTGTGATACCGTTCACACTGGCTTCAAGAACTAAGTTAGCACTTGATTCCCCTGCACTTCCAGTTGTGGCTGAGCGTGCACATGACATCAGTGGTTGAGCGTGCAGATGGCTGAGAGTTCACGTTCTGAGCGGCTGCAGCCAGACCCTTCTCGACCCTCCAGCTCTCATGAACTCCGTTACCCAGAATCCCTGCTCAGCACTCCGCCGTCTGTTGTCTCTGATTGGCTTATTTAATAACATCTGAAGTCAACCAAAAACATATCTGTTTGTGATTAAACAAAAATTAAAATTATCTTAAAATTTAAATGTTATAAAAACTGATTTTAATTGTATGCTATTATTAATGTGCGAAAGCTTAAAACCTCAATTACAAATTAAAAGTGGAAAGGAAGGAAAGTGACGTTTACACCACAGAGTTGTTTGCCAGCCGCCATAAAACAGCAAGAAGAAGAAGAAGAAGAAGAAGAAGAAGTGACGTTTACCCGGAAATAGTTGTATTTTCTCTTTCTGACACTGGGTGAGTAAGGGCGTCGGTGGCAAAGATGCTGCAATTAAACGTATTTTATAAATTATTTTCCAATGTAATGTGCGTATTAATGAATTTTGTTTGATTATAATTGTAGCTTATAGCCATGGGCCGACGACCCGCCCGCTGGTAAGTTATTTCAGTGATTTGGTCTTGAGGGCTCTAAAAGACCGTCACCATGTGCGACTTCTCATCCAACACTTTCCACTAAGGTGTCTAAAGTTTTTGTTGGTTAGCTAGTTAATATTTTGAACCATATTTTCACAATTTTATTACTAACTAGTAAACTTTTTACTACTCTCGCAAAACCACCTTTGGTATTTAACGTGGATTCTAGTTACATGCGATGCCGTTTTAAATGATAGGAGTTGCATCCGTACATCCTAGGTTTTTCCACTGCCTTTGATAATGAAATTACCTTCACTATTTATTTGAAGCACATTTAATTTACCATTCCAGGGTGTACATAGAATACTCGTTCAGTACAAGAAGGGATAGTGCGTTGATATGAAATTAAGCTTAGTGATGTTTTGTTATAGTATACCAGACTCCTTCAAAGCTACATATCAGATGGCTGGGTTGGAGTATTCTTCATATTTTGGACTTTTGTACTTGTATTTTTGCTATTTAATGTTTATCATTAATTTATGCTCAATTTAGTTACAGATACTGTAAGAATAAGCCATATCCCAAGTCTCGCTTCTGTCGGGGTGTGCCAGGTAGGTGTTTTGATGCTCTTCACTTTCATTACTTATAATTTGCACTAATATTTCTATAACCTTAATATTGTAATTGAAAATAATCACTAGTAGTGCCTATGACATATCACTGTCATGTCCAAAGTTGATAATTTTGTGAAGTAAACAGCAACCAAAACACTGGCAGCCTTGATGCAAGGCTAGAAATTCTAAATTACAGGATATTGCATGTATGGAGTCCAGAAAATGTTGTTTGTATTATATATTTTAATGTTGTATTTCTAAATGAAGGTAAATATCCAAGTTGACTGGGTTGTCTACATTTACATTATTGGATTTCCAGTTTAGTGCATTACACATCATTAAGGGCAGTAGGGTTTTTTCATTATTTAGAATGAAGGTTTCTTTTCTGTATCCACTCAGACCCCAAAATCAGAATCTTTGATCTGGGCAGGAAGAAGGCAAAGGTGGATGAGTTCCCGCTATGTGGTCACATGGTGTCCGATGAGTATGAGCAGCTTTCCTCAGAGGGTGAGCTATACGTATACGTGTTTATCCGCAAATATCAGCAAACGTGCATTTTTTTAATTAGCTTTGTGGTAGCTGTGAAATGATAAAAAAAAGGAAAACTTCCAAGTTATCCAAGCTTAAGATGGAGTTCTTGTAAAGTGTCTCAGCAGCTTGCAATGCACTTTAAGTCTTGATTGTTTTTTTAAGCTCTTACACTTGCAAGTTTTCTAATTAATCTCTGTGGAAAAGGGCATACTTCAGTCTCGCAGTCCTCCTGCATGCTGCTGTTTATGGCTTTCTGTGTTGCTCTCTGTGATTGTACATTTAGTAGTTGATAGCTGGAAGAAACGCTGCCTTTTGGCCTGTAATCATGCATAGTTTTTCTGTCTGACTCCAAACAGCACTGGAGGCTGCACGCATCTGCGCCAATAAGTATATGGTGAAAACTTGTGGGAAGGATGGCTTCCACATCCGCGTCCGCCTACACCCTTTCCATGTCATCCGAATCAACAAAATGTTGTCTTGTGCTGGGGCTGACAGGTGAGAGTGAAACAAGCCTCCCTTTAGCATTGTGGTTTGTGGAGGCCAGGGGCTGTTTACTAGTGAAGTTACGTTTGAATCCAAGGCGTGTATCGAGTAAGAAGGGTAGCTTCCGCTGAAGCCTTGCTTCAAGGCTTGCATCATTCTCAGAGAATCATGTGATTGGTGACAAATGACGCCTCGCTTCCTACAGGGACATCCTATTGGATCATTCCAGTCAGCACGATATATACCGCTGAGCAAAAACATTATGACCACCCCTATGTGAAGCAAATAATGTTGACTCACAACTGAAAAGTGCTGTGTTTGAAGGTCTGAAATGTATTAGTTCGTAAGCTAGCAGTCAGTACCTGTAGTTGAAATTTTGAATGCAGAAGAAATGGGCAGGAATAAAGATCTGAGTGACTTTGACAATCAGCCAAGGTGAGAACCTGCTGAAAGTGGTCTGAGGAGAGAAAAACTAAAAACTGCCAATGGGGTGTTAGGGAGCCAGTGTTAACCTGCGCTTTACCTTTGAAAAGAATCGTGGATGGTGTGAGGGAGAGAAGAGGAGGGTTATTTTGTAGGACAACTTTCACTATAATTAACGGAATCACTGCTATCTGTTGGCTCACTGGAATCATTTTCTGTTTGTGCGACTTTAACAAGGAACCCATACAATGACAGCCTCTTTTGCCTCCTTTTCGATTTCGCAAAAATGTGGACATTGCATTGTTGTTAAACAGATTCATCGCTCGCACTGCTACGCCCTTATTCAAGTGGTGCTTTTCTACTAAATTTTGACTATACGAGTGAGGCATGCTGACTGAGACCGAGCATGGGAGACGATTACCCACAATTCCGCAGCGTGAGATAGTGAATAACCATTGGTTGTGTTGTGATGACGTGCGCTCGGCGTCAAAACAAGAAGCGCACGCTTGCTCGGTTTCCAAGTCAAAATTTATTAAAAATTTTTGCTCATCTTGCGGAACACTCGTAAACCGCGTTACTCGTAATCCGAGGTCCCACTGTGTGTGTGTGTGTGTGTGTGTGTGTGTGTGTGTCTATATATATATATATATATATATATATGAGGTTTCAAGTAATGAACCTTTTGGCAAATCGGTGGGTTGGAAAACCTAAGGCACTTAAGAAAGCCTCATTTTGCCATTATTACATTGTGTTATAAGGTGCTGATATTCCATGTTGGCTGGTCATGAGCACCAGTGGACTGCCGTATGGGTTTCTTTGTTTCTTTTGATGGGGAGATATTCTTAAATTGTTTGTGTAATGTATGGATGACCAGGTTCTAAATAAACAAAAAACATCAAGCATAAAAACATAGATATTTCTTAGTCAATGATGCCTTCAACTTTCAAGGCCCATGAAATACATCTGGCGTTTATTCACGTGTAAATCATGGAAAGGCAAGCAGGGATGGTCTTTAATAAGTACAATTACTTTCAATATAATAATTATTTATGAAAGTATGGTGTGAGAAATCTTTTTTTTTGCAGGCATTAGAAATGTAGTTGCCTTGGCAGAATTGCATTTGAGAGTTAGAAGAATTCCTGCTTGGACAGCACCTTACTCTGGCCATCACTTTTCACTTCAGACTCCAGACTGGAATGCGTGGGGCCTTCGGGAAACCCCAGGGCACGGTGGCCCGTGTCCACATCGGCCAGGTCATCATGTCTGTGCGCACCAAGGCCCAGAACAAGGAACATATCATCGAAGCTCTGCGCAGAGCCAAGTTCAAGTTCCCAGGCCGCCAGAAGGTACAGTTTCATCCAAATACACATTTACTTTTTTCAGGTGTTCATTAGCTTAGCTGTGTTTTAATAGTAAGTGGAAACTGCTGGGTGAGAGTTGCTTGGCTCTCGAGGATGCCATGCTTCTCAAATTATGTATGGGTTCAGTTTGGCAGTGATGCTTATTGTAAAGTGGCTCTGGGACAACTATATATATCCTCAGAAGAGATGAAAACAAAGATTGCATGTGTGTGGTAAAATGACTGTTTGTGTGGTTTGAGTGAATGAGTGAGTTACAGTACAATATCCACTCATTTTTCTTTTCTTGTCTTACCAAGATCCATATCTCTAAGAAGTATGGCTTTACCAAATTCAACGCATGCGACTTTGATGAAATGATGCAAGAAAAACGACTGATCCCAGATGGCTGTGGAGTGAAGTACATCCCCAATAAGGGACCCCTGGATCGCTGGAAATTCCTCCATTCTGCATAGACCCTAGAGCGCCCTGGGCACTGTGTCAAGGAATGTCATGTCAATAAAGCTTTTTGAATTCTAAATCTTAAAATTTGTATCTTTGACAGGGTTTGGGAGAAAGTAGTTTGGTTGACTGTCTCAGTACAAATGGTGTAGGGATGTTTAGAAAAGCATGATGTGTGCTTCCGTCCATCCATAATCACTTACCTACTGCAGCATCAGGGTGCTCCTGGGTCCTACCTGGTAGTACAGTGCAAAAAGCAGGAGACACTCGGGAAATGATACCAGTCCATCAGGATAAATAAGCACACCTATTTCATATGGGACTTTAGAAACACAAACTCACCTAACCGTAGGTTTTTGACGTGACTGACTATACTGCATACACAGTGTGCATTTTCAAGCCTCATTATCTCCCATCAGCCAAAAGTGATAAATCATACAAAGCACTGAACTGTAAAATATTGCTCATTTCGAGCGATTTTGTGTAAATGCTTAACAACAAATTTATTTTTGTATAGTGCGTTATCACAACATGACATTGTCTCAAAGCGCTTTACAGCATCCCCACCCAAAGCCCCCAGTGAGTAAGCCATAGGCGACAGTGGCAAGGAAAAACTCCCTAGAAGGAAGAAACCTTGGGAGGGACCAGACTCAAAGGAGGAGCCCATCCTCCAGGGGCCGGCAGGGAGAGTCAAATCGGAGAGATGGCTAAGTGCCAAGTCATACTGTCTAAGTCATAAGATTTGATACTCAACTGGGGGGCAGGGAGGTGATGACAAGCCGGTGCTGGTGCTCCTTCTGATCACCGGGGAACCAGAAGTAAGACAGCGGGTCATACATGGAGGATGACACAGGCAGAATGGCGAGCTGGATGCAGAGACGTCATTGGTAGTGGCGACGTCACATGTTGCAGGGTGTGCTGGACATCTTGATAGATTGAGGTCTCCAGGCAGGACCCCCCAGGAGGAGTAGAGGAAATAAAATGTGCAATTAGTCAAAGTAGGGGAGACTATAGGCAGTGCTAACAGTTAGGTGAGTGCAATATGAAGTGCAATGTGCAAGCTCCGGCAGATATGGCTATAGCAGCATAAGTAGGAGAGAGAGGCAGGTGGGAATGCAGGCATGGGGAGTCCCTGAAATGTCAGCACTCCAATCCCACAAGTGATTGTGAAGCTAGAGTGACAGCACTGTCAATTCAGTTTATCCAAAGTCAATGGAACCGATCCCCACCCAGCTCTACACATCACACTATAGGTCTAAATGGGAGTGAGGAGTTAGCTAGAGCTAGAACTAGTGTCCCTATAAGCTAAACTAAATAGGTGTGTTTTTAGTCTAGACTTGAATATTGAGAGTGAGCCTGAAACCCGCACATCCGGTGGAAGACCATTCCACAGCTGAGGAGCTCTATAGGAGAAAGCTCTGCAGCCTGCCGTAGCTCTTTCTACCCTAGGTACTAACAGATATCCCGCGCCTTGAGAACGAAGCAAGCGCGGAGGGTTGTATAAGGCCAGCAGATCACTAAGGTTTTCTGGTGCAAGGCCATTCAGTGCTATATAGGTTAATAGCAGTATTTTATAGTCAATCCGAGACTTAACTGGAAGCCAATGAAGGGAGGATAAGACAGGTGTAATGCGATCATATTTTTTAGCATTTGTGAGAACTCTGGCTGCTGCATTCTGTACCAGCTGAAGTTTATGTAAGGATCCAGATGGGCAACCAGAAAGGAGGGCATTACAGTAGCCCAGTCTGGAAGTTATAAAGGCATGTATTCATTTTTCTGCATCATGAAGTGAGAGCATCTTCCGAAGCCTGGCTATGTTCCGTAGATGATAAAATGCAGTTCTAGTAATACTTCTTATATGAGCATCAAAACATAGATCTGAATCAACTAGAAGACCAAGATTTCTAACCACTGTCTTAGGTTGTGTAGGAAGGCCACCAATGTTGAGGTGGTGAAACTTATTTCTTGTAGCCTTGGGACCAAATACTAGTACTTCTGTTTTTTTCTGTGTCTGACATAAGGAATTTTCTTGCCATCCAGCACCGGATATCTAATTTAGTTAGACTCATGTATGCATAAGTATTCTGCCACGTCAGAGAAATGTAATACACCAGGAATTGAACCACTATACTAAAGATATGAAAAAAAAATGAATCATCATTAAATTCTTAATCTTGCGTGACTATTTCCCTTGGGAATTTCTAATTTCCAGTTTCCTTCATACCATTTTTGGTGCAGGTGTGCAGCAGTGCACCACTATTTCACTGTTAATCAATTAAAAAGTTGGATATTTCAAGAATGTTCACATTATCTCAAATTACTTTGTGGAAGGAAACAATTGTATCTCCTAAAAGTTGCCCGATGCAACCATGGCTCATGCTATGATTATATATCAATGCTTATGTTACTGGCAAATATATAATTATGCGCTTGCTGGGACAAGGAGTGTAAGTGGCAGGTTTGTCCTAATAATAATAATGATTTTATTTATATAGCGCTTTTCAAGATCTCAAAGACACATAGAATAAAGTAAACAGATAATAAAATGACAAAACATTATGGATAGGGAAGGTTATACGCTTGAGCAAGCGAATGGATTTAATTTGAAATCTGAGACCAAGATTGATTGACGAATGGCAGTAGGGAGTAGGTTCTGAAGTTGGGGAGCTAATTGGGTCATTGCACGGTCACCATGGCAATGGAGTTTGGAAGGGGGGATGAGCAGAGAGCCAGAAGTGTGGATCTAAGTGTGGAGAGGCTAGTAGGGGAGAAGCAATTCAGAAAGATACAATGGGGTTTGGTTGTTAAGAGCTTTGAATGCCAGAAGAAGTATTTTAAAATGGATGCCTTGTTTAATAGGGAGCCAGTGCAGGCTCTGAAGTATGGGAGTGATGTGTTGGTAGTAGTGTGGGTGAGTTTATGGAGAGATTTTCCAGTAATACCAGTAAATAGTATGTGAATCTCAGGGGTCGAATTGTGATGGTTAGAAAACTGGGTCACAGCATGTGCAAAATGGTAGGTTTTGTGGGGTGTTCTTGGTATGCAGTGGTCAATATCTAACAAAAGTAGTCCAAGGAATGTCAAATGGTGAACAGGTCAGTGCAACATCACCAGTTATATGATTTAAATTAATTCAGGGCCGCACTGACTGTGCTGGATATTGAGTCTTGGGGAAAGCAAAAGACCTGTCAAAGGACCTGCATAATTCAGGAACCAGAAATTTGAAAATACCAGTCAGCAGCTTTCAAATTCTGATACCCACAACCTAACACACCGTAACTATGGCTGCTGGTGCTGCTGTACGTCATTTTTATCTACTATGCTTGTCAATGCATGTTCTGACCATCCATGCTCTCCTCCTTCCCACATTTCTGGATATTCCTGGGGTGGACACCATCTGAGCTGGAGTCCTGGTTCAGTCCCATGGAGAGGTGACATTGCGAATNTTTCTCCTTACTTGGGAGGTTTTGGTTCCTCTCCTCTGTTGACATCTGGCTTTCTTTATTTAGTTTATTTCCTTCCTTTTTCCCTTTCAGTATTACTCTGTCTAATGACGTTTAATGTATCACAACACAACTTTGTTATGCAAGGCGCTATATAAAAATGAATTGAATTGAATAAACAAAATTAAATAAAGAATGAAGTATTTATTCTCTGTCAGTATTTAGATGGAGTATGTTAAGTAAATTAATAACTATGATATGGATTAATAACTATTTTACAGATGGACTAAGGAATTTTAGGAAGTACAAGTGCTGCAGCTGCTGCTGAAGATGGTTAGAAATCTTCTGAGTTTGACCTTACAAATTAGGGTTTGAAGTTTCCATTACATCTCTGTGTCATTCTGTTTGCTCCATTGTGTTGTTTGCATGCCATTTCCAGAACTATCGCTGCTAAGTTTTCATACACTGTAACTGAAGAATTATGACAACTGTGCCATTTTTCTGCATGTGCCTGTTGGTAATGAGCGGCTGCCAAGCCCCAGAACGAGTGACCATCTCCCCCATTTGGACTCTCGCCTAGAGCACCAAAATGGTCAGAAACGGCCCTTCCACCTGCCATCAATCAAGTTATTCTTATGTTAATCGTATCTTAATAACCTCTCTGACCAACAACTCCTCACAAATTTCAGTTCTCGATAGCGATCTCTTCAAAATGACAGTCTAAATTCTAAATCAATTTACAATTCAAGACTCAAAATGAATCAATACGGAAGGTCTCATTTGTCATCAATCATGTGATTCTTTCAGAATTATACCTGCCTTTGGAGCTTCCATTTTGAGCATAACATAATTAGTTTAACGCTAATTATTAATTTGCTATATTCTGTCATAGTTATGACATAAGTACAGATGCTCCTTGCTTTACAATGGTTCAGCTTAAAATATTTTGAGTTAATAATGTTGCGATAGTGACGGATATTCAGTAGTCATCTTTAAATTTTGGTCTCCACCTGGGCTAGTGATATACTGTATATTTTCTACTGATGACTGGCAAAGGCAACCTTCACACAACATCTGAATGATCTCTGTAGCCATTGAGAACATAAACCTCACAGTGTATAACAATGCATTGTACAGTGTTTTTTTTCTTTTTCCTGTGTTTAACCAAATAAACATGTGCTCATTTATTTTCTTTTCAATTACTGGTATTTAGTTACCGTAATTACTTATTCATTCGGTGACAGTAGTTATTTACTTATATTTGACATGACATTTTCCACTTACAATGGGTTCATCACAAGGCGAGGAGGACTTGTATATCTTTAAATACTGACTGTTGTGGTATTTTGAAACTTCTCTACTAATGCTTGAAATATGTTTCTCACTCTTATTAAGTATACAGGCAGGTGATGCTGAATTCAACACTCATTGCTCTGTGTTAGCATGGTAAGGTCTACAGAATACAACACCTTTATTGACATTTCACAACAAATATATAAATACATCATTGCACACAAATAAAACTGCATAAGCCAAAGTTTCATTCTCATAGGGCGCTTCCCTCACCAGCTTCAAGTCAAAAGGGAAAAACAAATAATTTACCATACAGAAACATGGATCAAAGTATTAATCTTTACATACAAATCTCAGTACCACCAGAATGTAGCTGAACAATCATATACTGTACAGAATCTTCACTTTAAGCCACAGATACACATAGCTTTGTAAACCACACACAATAAGAGATTAGAGAAGTGGACAAATTCTCATACTGCTTCAGTACACAGGATGTCAAAATTTTGTCCAGTGCAAAGTATAACATATTAAAATTCTTGTAACAGCGTTAATAATTTGCACTACTAACAAAAAAAAATCTGCCACATGGTTGATTGCTGTGTGAGATTTTTCACTCAAGACAGAACAATGTGTTAAAACATGCACCTATGAAATATAAACTAATTTGCTTTATTTAGTTCTGTAATAGGTAATACTTTCCTCAACAGCCAATCAAGGTGAAGTTTTATGGAAAATCCAGATTGGCTCAGCTGGGAAAGCTTTTGTGACAAAATAAAAATACAGCCAATAAGGAAAGAGAGATCCCACATAAGTGACTAGACAGTTTCCATGGGACTCACGAAGAGTAACGAGTCCCTGAGCTATTTAGTGCAGTAGAACTACTAGGTCATCGTCATACATGGTACAGTATATGTATTCCATAGTTTAAATCCAGGTAGGATGTAAATTCAAAACAGGAATGGGTGATGGAATTTGGACCCTTCAGGGTAGAGAAAGAACAGCGGCAGGAAAAGACAACATAACTGGAGACAGGAAGAAGTATGACGTGCAATTCTACTTCAGTTTGATGACAGGTGACTTTACCGGTGGAGGGTGTCACTCATTCTGGGGCACGGCAATTGCTGGGCCCTTGGGGTCGTCAAAGCGGTCCATGGTGCGCAGCTGGATGATCATGTGAAGGCCATAGGTGAGCACGAGGAGCATGAGGAGCGAGGTCAGCAGACCCATCCAAACACCAGGTGTGAAGAAACTGGCGCAATCACTGGCGTAAGAGAAATCTGAGCCAGTCACATTGAAGCCCTGGATCTGAAAAACACAGAAACAGAGAGAATAAGTGTGAGAGAGAATGATAGTGGCCTCCTATAGATCTATGGATTAATTCAATACTTTATGTGTAGGTCATAACATTTCAGGATCTGAGTGGTATATTATGCCTTTCTAAATGTACAAAAGAATATTTCCCAATATTTTTCAGTGTTCTCCAAATATTTCTGAACTGCAACAGAGGAAATATGAAAAAAACAGAACTGAAATTAAATTCCATTTAAATTTAAATTTCCTTTTAAATTGGAATTTAAATTCCAATGATCATAATCAGGTTATCCATCTCTTACAATATTCAAGCTGACCACAAGTCTTTATCAGCTAGTTTAACTAGTAGTAACTAGTTATCACTTGTACCTGGAAGTCATCGAATGAGAGCCTCCACAGAGTGGCGTTGTCGTTGGCTGTACGCGGCGTCAGCAGCGGGTCTCGGAAGCTGGTGACCGACTTGCAGCGGTAGGAATACTCTGAAGGGGCATAGATGTTACGGCTGCTGTTGAAGGTCGCCTTCTGACCATCGTACTCCAGCTCTACTTGGTCCAGTGTAAACCAGTGGCGTCCTGAAACTTGGTAGAAGCGCCGGCTCATGGAAAAGCTGCAGATGGTGTAATGGGGACATTTAAAGGAAAATGGAAATCAGCATGACGGCCAGATCTGATAAACCTAAATGTGACAGCTGAGGGACATGCAATCTGATGCCTGTCAAAAGACTGAGGTGGAACTCACATGAGTGGAAGGTACTCACATGAGTCTGAAGGTCCGGAAATTAAGAATGTTCTGATAATTTAGAACAAGCCTAAGAGGGGGAAAAGTGAATGATTAGACGTTGAAGTTTTTTCTAAGAACGAAGCAAATTATGACTTCCTTCAAATGTGTGTTTCGCTGTTATTAAATAAATTGAATAAACTTCCAGAGTATTTGTGTTATTGAGAACATAAACATATTTATGTAGTCCATGAGTTTGCTTACTTTAGTGTGGCCTGATGCATTTTATGCACAAAATCACTGCTGCTCATTCCTACTGGAGTGAGGTGCAGCTATGTGTTACTACGACACTACATTTATAGTACATATCACACCCACAGATACACACACACACACAATTATATATATATCATTATACAATAATAATAAAAGTAATTGAGCCGATGAACCACTGAAGCCACACAATGTATGTAAAGTATATCATAACATCAACAGCTTTAATATACATTAATAATAAACATTATATGATTATACAACTATAGTGTCTATTATCATATAATGTCTGTTATTAATGTATAGTACAGCTGTTGGATTATATTAGGAGGGTAAGGTATATTTACATGCTGCTTATGAACGTTCTGTGGTTGCTTTAGCTCTGATTATAAGAAATCATTATGGACTACAAGCCTTCTAGTGCTCTTACCGTGAGTGGGTTTGGTTGCAGGTGGAACCTGTCAGTGAAACAGAGGCAGAGGAGCCAAAGGTCTGCGCACTCAGGCCATGGCGCCTCCACTGGCCCTGGAAGTGACTGACAGTCAGGTTCTCAGCCCAGAAGAGGATGCAGGGAGACGCTCCACTCCTGAACTCCAGGGGAGGGTACGGCTCGCTGGCTGGGGCCTGCAGCAGGGTTCGGGCAACTGGGAGGGTCTCAAGGGACACCTCCTGGATCACCTGGGGAGGGTGCAATGCACGTTATACCCATGTGTAATAATCCATATTCTTCTTGTACAGTTCTTGTAACAGCTTGTCCTATTCATCGTCATGGGGGGCCCGGAGCCTATCCCAGGGGCTACAGGAGCAAGGAACGGAACAACCCAGCATGGGGCGCCAACCCATCGCAGGGCACCCATGTGTAGTAATGTTTTTGCCAATCACCATGGAAACATGTGGTATAGTAGGGCTTTGCGACATGACTATATCAATTGTGTGACGACAGAAAAACATCTACTGTTTGATATTATATTCTATCATATATTTTGTTGTATTGCAAATCAGACTCTTTACAGTGATATTTTAAGTAATTCAGAAGACACTTTGTATTACACAGCATAGATTCAGGCAGGAAATTTGCATTAAGGCTGCCAGTAAACAATCCGTACAAACTGCCCAATTTGTACCCCACACAGCTTCTCAACTGCAACATTTCCGCACATGTGTTCACCACATTACATTTTCTGGCACTGGACTGATCCATTTGTCCTGACATTTTACGGTAAAACATATTGTGCATATTTACAGCAAACTACAGTGGTTGTTTTCTTGTTTAGCAAGAACTGGTGTTAATTATTCTGCTGACTGAAAAGAAATCTGTTTTGCTTGTCTATTTACAGTAAGTGGTCACTCCAGTTATCAGTTTTTGGGTCAACACCTCTACCTAAATATCCCATATCTGAAATATTAGTTTATATTTCTGTCAGTTGAAATTGCTGCTATCCAGCAACATGGAATTTTGGTTTACTTATAGGTTCACTGAAAAAAACTGGAGAAAATAACATACATTCTCCAGTGGTTTGTCCTATTGGCATAATGTTACAGCACAATAGTGGCAGCCGGCAGCAACATACGATCACCCGCCCTGACTGGGGTACCTAACAAGACCCATAATACCTGCACTCATACAAGTGCAGGTATTATGCAGAACTTTTATTAAACAGACAGGGAACATAAAGAATAAAGAATATCTGACGGAATATCTCATTTTCGGCTAGTGGAGATTGCTCGCAAACAGTCTGTAAAATGAACCTGATGTTGTGAAAAGAAATATTAATTGGGTTGGGTCATGAAAGTGTAAAATGTACAGGCATGTGAGGTACAAATTGGGCAAGTGGTACAGATAGGCACCAAAAACAAACATGGAGGAGAGTAAATAAAAGACAGAATGAGGAGCTCGTATATAAAAGACGGGCTATTTCTGTCACATGAGAGCGGTCTAGGTATGAAAAGTCTGACACAGACAAGAAAACTTTGCAAGTTATAATGCCAACTGGTCCCCAAAACATAAACAAACTTTACAGTTCAGTGAATTTACAGAAAATGTGCTATATCATGAAATGTATCGTTATCGGGATATGAAGTGACCTATGTTAGGATATGAGATTTTGGTCATATCGCACAGCCCTATGGCACAGTAACACAGAGAAGCATGAACATGCATCAAACTAGCTGGACGTCTCAACTAGCAAGCTGAATAAGGACAACAATCCACAAGCAAACTGAAGAATGCCTTACCCGTGATGGTCTGACAGCCGTGTAAATGGCAGTGTAGGGAATGGCCTGGGCCTTAATAATGTTCAGCACCTGGCGAATTATGTCATCTGGAGAGAGTGGACTAATCACATTCTACCCTTGAAATGCTCATAATCATATTTATTTTTATAGTGACAATCTTTACAACTCTTAATTCTAGAAAAAAAAATAGAAGTCACTTAATTACATCTTAAGTTCATTCTGTGATTATGTAGCATAAATGGGGCAGATTTTCAGCTTTAGAAATTTAAGATTTGATTTGTATATTTGCCTTAAACTGCAAGACAACATACTGTATAAGCTGATGACCAACAAAAATGACTTTTCACTCACCATTTCCACTGAGAACAGCTTTGGGGGAGATCATGTCCGCGCTGCAAAGGACCATGATAAGATGAGCTCAAAATGTTACTACTTTACATGGACCAGCATCAACAGTTTGAATTGCACAGTGGAGTTACATAGTTACTACTAGTTAAACTAGCTGATAAGCCTTGGTGATACTGCTTTCTAGTATTGATGCTGTTATAATTTCCCCAGTACCTACTGAGAGTTTAAGTATACAGAGAGCTGTTGGACATTATTATCATTTTCCCACTGCTTTTCCTGGTAAGAGTTGCAGTGGCAGCATGCAGAGCAAGTCAGACAACATCAGACAACATGTTCCTGCAGCCATAGACTCCACCTCATTCCAGGGGATCCCTAGAAATTCCCAAGGCAGGTGGGAGGTGTAAAATCTCCAGCATGTCCTAGCTGTTCAACCATGCCCCTGCCCTGTGGGAGGGGTCTGTAAAACACTCATTGGTAGCTGTCCCAGTCCACGGGTACTTTACTCGACTTCCACGCAACTCTGTGTCATCTACCTCATTCCAACCACAGGCAGTACTTTCATAAAATTTACACATTTTTCATGTTCTACTGCAGCCTTTTTATCACGGAATCCACTGACCACCATGGCAACTTCAGCCCTGATTGAGTCTAATTTCTAACACTACCTTCTGGTTAGAGGGCATACCAATATTTAATTTAATTTAATTTACTTTTTTCATGTTCTCAATTTGCAATTTCAAGCTTTTCAAGCTGTAGTGTGTGAATACTTTGTGTTTTAGTAAATTTACAGGAACACTGAAGAGCAGTCCCAAAACAAGCACAGAGTCATCAGGCGGTACCTCCTCACCCACATTCTCTAAGAAAGTTGGGCACATACACATACAGTACGATAGTAAGAGTTCTCTAATCTGTAACTTGCAGTCGCTTATGGTTAACCTTCTTGCCAACTAAGAGAAACTCCACCTGTACAGCTCTCAGCCAAGTGAGATCTATTTTGGATCATAGTTTGTCTGGGGAAAAAAACGCTTTTCCCTAACTGCACACTTTAAACAAAAAGGTGGTTCAAGAATATGAAAAAGCACATGAAGACACACGAGACATTACTCTGTGCTGTAGGGCAGACGGAAGATCAGCAGAGAAGAGCCAGAGGCATTGAGGCGCAACTGTGACAAGGTCTCTGGGTCCAGGTAGAGTGGGGAGGTGCCGAGCTGCTCCTGCAGGATCCGCGGGACGGCACCAGAATCAGGCCACGACAGGGCCGGGAGCACCAGCGGAGAGGCAGAAGACCTCAGCTCTGCCTGCAAGGACAGACAACACCAGTCAGAATGAACACTATTTTGCACAAATATTCATTCAAATGTCTAAAACAGTTTGTGCTTCAACCACATATTGCTAAAGCTACATATTTTTAATTAGCTCCAGCTGAACAGCAAATCTTCATTCTAGGCTTTGGTGGTATGTAAAATTTCATGCTGTCCAGACATTATTCATGCATGCATTATTATTACCTTTTTCTACTTAGGTTTTTCATAATTTTCAGAGTTCATAACTTTTTTTATAATGGTGGCTGTATTACATACCAAACGTACAGTACCTGGTGTGGTAGCTTTTTGTGGAAAATGGTCAATCAAGTATTTGGATGAAAAAAAACTAAATAAATAAATAGATGAAACATATTCTAGATTTACAGGAATGGGTGGATGCAACTCTACCTCCAGGGCCGGGAAAGCACTATCCTGCTTGTTCCCAAAAACTCCTCCGTACACAGTGAAGTCATCCATGCTCAGCTGTGCGGTTCCAAGAAAAATAAATGGAAACTGGTTCGTCAAGTTCATCAATAAGGACTACCAACAGATTCATGTAGATTGGAGTTCATGAAACGAACTGTGATGGATGTGTAAGGCGGTTAACCTGTCAATCTTTAAGACATTCCCGGGCAATCACAAAAATCAGACCGTCACCTTCACACAGTGCAAAACTGAAGGGGATCAACCAGCCCCCACCCAAGTGGGAAAATCTACCAACGGGCCTGCCGCACCCTGCTACGTCAAACAATAAGTGGCGATTTGATAGCATGCCACATTATTTTCTTTGCAGAAGTACAGTAACGCTTACTGTAAAAAAGGTGGGTGACCACTGTTCTAAATTCATGGTGATCATACATCCGTTCTGAGAAAAAGATCACCTGCCTTTTCTAATAGCTGCTTCTACTTCCAAAGAAACTTTGTTGCGGTACATTTGAATAACAGTTTTTGCATAGTACGTTCTGCTCAGGACATATTGACAGTCAGAGGTATATCTTTGAAAGAACCGTTCTCCTTTATGTGAAAACACACATTACGAAAAAAAATGTCATCTCGTGTTTGCATTTGGGCACGGTTTGTATTTAGGGGCTAAAGGTGCAAGGCACCCATTGTAATTTTTAACTTTTTCTTATTATTATTATTATAATTATTATTATTCTGGCTGGGTGTCTATGGCAGGTCCCCAAACGCTACGCATGATTTTTATGAAATTTGGCACACAGAGACAGCAGAGTAATGTCTATAAGTACAGCAATTTTGGGGTCACAAGCCTGCTAGTGCCACCAACAGATCACACTTGTACTAATATTTCCGCTCATAACTTTTGAATTGTTTAGTCTATTGCATTTTGAAATGTTTTGTAATACAAAAAAAAGTTTTCATGGCTCACAATTTTCCGATCTTCACTATTTTTGGCTCAGAGCATCTTCAAAGCCACACAAAAGTTATCACAGGCAATTAATACCTGCAGCAGACTTCTTCCCAACCCATTCACTCTTCTCTGATTACAAATGAAGCTAGTTTCTGAACTAACTGGACATGGTGAAGTTGTAGCACTGGATAAAACTGTTAGCCAATTTATTAATTCTTCATCGTCTGTATAGAAAACAAAAATAAAAAGCACAGACCTTGTCCTGGAGGAACAGGAGAACATTCTGAGGGCCAGAAGTGAGTGCAGTTTTCAGGTAGGAAGCCAGCTGGGACTCTGATATGATGTGTCCGGCTAGTGGGGCAACCTGCTGCGGCAGAGGATACCTAGAAATCCATCAGGACAGAAGGACACTTAGTTTACTGACGGAGCAGAGGTTCAAAGAGGGTCATTTGATTTTAATTTCAGAAAAAGTTTGGAAACTTGACAAGTGGTACGCCTGTACTTCATCTTCCGAGACAAAGGAGAAACGTGCTCCTGCCGCATGCCTTTCTGATGCTTAAAAATAGCTTTGTTTATAAACATTTTGTCCTCTCATGAAGACGACCTAGTAACATCAATGTCGCCGCAGACATTTTGCTCCATTTATTTTGCTCGATAATGATACTGCCGATATTTCATTACATAGTATCAGTCATGGGCATTTGTGCATTATCACGAGGGTGAATACAAGCATATGAGCATGGAATCAGACCTGATACTTATACTAGTGTCGCTGCATCCCTAGCCTTTTATATAGATTACTTTTGCTAAATTTAACAACTTCATATTAATAGCTAGCTATTATTTAATGTGTAAGATTAGTTTCTCTTGTTGGCACTGCCATATTTGCCAACAATCCGTCTAAGTCCATTTAGAATATTAAATTGTTCATTGATGGCTGTGTAAAGACAGGTTTCTATTTGTGAAGCTAATGGTGTCCTACTACATTGCTTGAAGATTATTTTGCAATATAATTCATACTATTTTTGTACAAACCAATAAATGTCTTTTTACTCAAATGCTCTAAGCCTTAGTATGACATGTAACTGGGAAACTACATCTATTCATTTATTCCACATTCCACTTAAATATTAATATTTTTCCCCACCACTTATGTGGTTAACTGTATTTCTTTATGTGTTAAACTCCATGTCTTAAAACTCTATTTATATCATTTATATTCTTTATATGTCTAAATATTTATATTATATTTATTTCTCATTTGCTCAATGAGCAGTATATCACACATGTCAACCTACTGTAACTGCGGGGAAAAAAGGAGATGGGTGATTTTTGCATACAATCATACTGAAGGCTCCACTGATCTGAAAAGTTAGACAAGTAAAGCCGGGGGCGTTTCGCATCTGGTTGACCTGTCATTTTGGGCGCAACTGACAGCAATGTCGCAAAACGTCTTAACTACTCGGGGTCAGAGCAGAGACCCACCGGCTCTGTCCCATTTGCCCCACATGGTCCAAACTTACCAACAGATCTGGACTCAATTTTGAGACAAATCATACCGAAACTGGATATTCGGCGCTTAGTGACAGCACCGAGAACCATGAGATGATTGGAGGCTTTTCCTTGTGAACAGGATCAGTCAAATAGCGCCTGATTTTTGCTTGCTCAACACGAGACACGGCAGTATGTCACACACCAAATTTAATCAAAATTTAAAATGGTGATGCAAAGGCCATTTGTTGAATTAAAATTGAATGACCTTAGAAAACACATACCTAACACGCTGGTAAGGTAGTCGACATTTGACATCTATAAATGGGATCCCGTATCGAATTTACTAACGATTCTTGTCTTCAAGCATACATGATATCTAATTCACAGCATTTTATAGCTAATAATTTTCCTTTTGATCAGAATCGGCGGTCCTGGTCTAATCCTTAATCCAAGAAGGAATACAAACGTGAAAATGGTATGTGCTAACTGAGAATGGGTAACATTAGCGACGAGTCAGTTTTACCCTTCACTTGACCACATCACCAGAGGTACCTGGGCGCTGCAGCTCCCTGCAGAAAATACAGAAAACAAAATAGCAAAGAAAACCGCTGTGCCGGTCATCTTAGAAACAACGGAAACCACCATCTTGAAACCCGATGATTACGTCACCCGCTTATCACCAGTCATGTGAGCGCAAGAAAAACGGAGCTTCTCCGCGAGATGGATGGGTGGGTGATGGGATTTGGTCCGTCAAATGAAATAGCATGAAGTTCATTCAACAGTACAATGCATGCTTAAAGTCTTCTTCTTTTGTGATTCTTCTTACTAGGTAATAGCATATGCCATGCGATTAATGCAGTTGATAATTCCATCTAAACCGGATACTGTAATTCAGAGGAATAAAATGAAGGTTAAAAATAAAATAGTTCATCCATACATAACCACATATCCAGTTCAAAATCACAGAGCCTGACCCAGGAAGGACAGGGCATACATACATACATACATACATACACACACGCGCGCGCACATTTTCACTAATATAATGGCGAACTTTCATCTTCTTTAATATTGATCTAAGGAGTACTATTAAATATAAAGATTTGATCTCAGATAATTGTATGCATTCAAGAAAGCTCTATCTTTTTAAAAACACGCTACCATTTTATGCTTTCATTGATTATAAGTACTACCAGAACACCAGTGAGGTTGAGAATGAGGACATGGAGGCACTTGCCAGATATACCATTATTACCATTCTGATATAAAGACAGGGAGCCAATCCAGGTAGCACCACATATAGTGGGACCTCAGAACTCGAACTTAATCTGTTTAGAACTCCGGATCGAATCCTAAAAAGTTCGAGTTCTGACCGAATTTTCCCCATAAGAAATAATGGAAAACCAATTAATTGGTTCCCAGCCCCAAAAAATTACACCTAAATAGTTTTTTTTTTTAGCATTTAAACACAAAATGAACCGAAGAAGAGCATTTACTGTGCTAAACACATCTAAGCACATTAAACAAAACAGTAATTTTTAAAGTAAGAAAATAAATGTATCCAAACAATGTGTCCTGCCCCGATCATCTGCTCCTTCCGTGTGCCACGCCCCCTCGTTAACCCCGTGTGGAATCCCCGTGTGATCAGCTGTTTCTGGTTGTTGTCATTAGTCCTCTGCATTTAGTCCGCGTTTCAGTTTGTTTCCCCAGTCCGGTCATTGTATTGTCCGTCTGCGTTTTGCCTGCCTAGGCTGCCTTACCTGTAATTAAACCCCGTATTCCTCGATACCCTGACGTCTGCGCCTTTGTCTCCGTTCTGTCCCCACTGGGCACAACAATATTATTATAGCCTAATTAAATGTAGTAATGGTTTATTATTAATATTAAAATAATTGATAATTTTTTATTTTAAAATGTATTTTATTATATAATAATTACTGTTACTGTCATTGTCTAAATGTATTTTTACTGCCTAAATATATGTATTCAGCTAGTGTAAACATGCACGATACAAGTTATCTTAGGTCTGCGTTCACGGTTTGACTTCTGAGATTCAGATTGAGTTCTAGGTAATTTTTTTTCAAACTGGTTGGTTCGACTTTTAAGAAATTCGAGTTATAATGAGTTTGAGAACTGAGGTACCACTGTATTTCGTTACATGTGGAGAATCAATGCTCAGTCAGGAGATGACTGGTACTTGTAAGTGAAATAATAATAATAATGAAATAATAATAATAATAATAATAAATGATAAAATGGCAAAACCTCAATTTCAGCTGAACACTTTTATAATTCAGTGCAGTGGTGTCAAGAAAGTTTGTGCAAGAGTACAAATGTTGATAGGTCTAGACCGACTGATTTATTGACTTTATAGCCTACTTGAGTGTTAAAACTTGATATCAAGGACAAACGTTTGTTCAGGTGTTCAAGCAATTGTCTTTCAAATTTGAAATGAGCTTGAAAAATCAGGTAGTGCAACTGCAATTAATATGACCATTAATAAATATATATATAAAAAATAAGAATGTATGTCTGGTGCATTGTATACACTTACTTTATGAACCTTTATGAAGATTTTGATTTTGAAAAAATAATTGGAAAATATATTTTGATTGCAGCACCTGACGTTTCATTTTGTGAAACCTTTATTTGTCATTCATTCAGGTGGTGCTGATCACCCCCTGCTGGACATCACGTCACACTTCTTATCTGGATAGTCGTTTGGTACGGGGGCCGCTTGGAAGAGCCAGATGTGAAGCTTGCCTAGAGTTCCACATGGGCTTAGACTACCAGTAGATGAACATAACAGTTTTTAACTAATCACATCAGTTGTGCATTGTAAGTTGATCGCAAAATTAAGTGTTGACAGGCCTTCTCCCACTGTCTCTTTCAGACATCATACCTGAGCCTGGAATGGAGTAAACCCACAATGAATCATCTAACCCTCGACGGTGAACATGGCTTGCAGCATTTTTAATAATGGCCGCCAGATCTGGGATGATTACTATTGGGGCAGAATTGGCTGATACATAAAGCACAGCTGGGCCATCTCTGCTTTGCAGAAATTGGGCCGTTATCTGGGCCGGTTGCAGCACGACAGGTATTCTCTAATCTACTAAACAAACAAACAAAATCCTCGTTTATTGTTTATTATGCTTATCGTACTAGTATCATATTGTCAAAATGAATCGCTCTCCGTGGTCCTGAAAATCAAACCAGTGTATCTTTTTGTGGTGGTGTGTTTACTTACGTAAAAATGGAGTCCTACTTAAACACACGTTCACATTAAAACGACACATTTCTTTCTTCCGTCCAGGAAAGTTTGAGATTAATGTCAAGTTATTAAATTGTCTTGTGCCCAACAGGAAACATATTTGGTTTAATTAGCTAAATGAATGAAGCACCGACAAGCGAACCACAATCGGAAAACATTAGTTGAAAACATCGATTTTGCAAGTACTGCGAATAACATACAACTCTAAAAATATCTCACAATTGTTTTTGGACATTGCGGTGTAGAATGGATACACAGGGATGCACATTTGCGATTGTGCTTGTAGGCAGATATTTTGTATTATCGAATAAACCGTTAATACATTTTCAATTATTAATAACCATTAGGTTAATGCCACTCATCAGTACTAAATGCAAGTATTTCAGATCTGACTTAGATGATTGCAGTATGAGAGGAACCGCAGCCAGCGGAGGAATACTTAGCTTAAGCACGAGGTCACAAGCAGCACTTATTTCAGCAAAGAATACGAGGAAACATACATTATTATTCGTCTTAGTATAAAATTGGTAATATCCAAAAATGTATATGTACATATATTTCCAGCATTACTAAGAAGAAACATATATATGATTTCATCTTTGAACCCGTGAGTGCGGAGAGTGTTACGTCTAGGTCGCGGGACTTTTTCCCGACGCGGATGTATGTTTTAGGGAAATAGCTGCGCAGAGAGGGCCATCTTTAGACTTTCTTGCCGGTTGCGATAGTAGATATTCTCAAGTTCACTTTAATTTAATAATAATAAACATATTATTATATTGTATTATATATCTTCAAATAGGATAAAAGAATTGCACGTTAGGTTTGCACAAACCGATCCTCTACATATTTTTCATAAAATTTTATAGAACTGGATATTCGACATGGATGAGGAATATGATGTGATCGTTTTAGGCACTGGACTCACAGTGAGTATTTCTTTCTACGCTTTTGTATTAGTGGGCATGTGATGTGTATGTATGTATGTGTGTGAGTATATATACTGTACATATACACGTATAATTGTATAGGCTATGTATGAGTATATGTGTGAATATATATGGTTATAGCCTTTTAAAAACGTAACATGTTTCAGTTCATTGTACTTCCCAAGGTACGGACATCCTTCCATCCCTTTTTGCAATACATGCAGTTGCAGTCAGTCAGTAAAACTTTAAAGAGACTTTTACACACAGTTATATGTATGTTTATATTCTACAAGGTCAATTTATGTTGACAACTTTCATAGACCAAAGGCCTGTAGAAGTCATGTTTTTAAACGTATGACTCGGATCCACAAAGCGTGGCGATGGGTTCAGTGACGCTTAGTATTGCACAAAGGTCCACCAAGCGAAACACATTATGATTATTATTATTATTATTATTATTATTATTATTATTATTATTATTATTATTATTATTATTATAATTATTGTTTTGGCGAGGTGTAGTGTCCGGCGAGCGGCTTCCTTTTGATTTGACCAGAATATACCGCCGAACTATTTTGATGATAAATACGTGCGTGTTTTAGGATAAGTGCTTTCTGGCAGACATTATTTTGTAGTAACAGTGGCAATGCCAAGGATGTGAGGAGACGTCAACCCCCCCGTTTGAAATTCAACACTTGGTAACATAAATTTAGAAAACTAGGAAATATAGATTGAGAATATTATAGACATGCATGAAATAGCTGCGCAGAATCGAAAAAACATAAAATACTGCCATTAAGACAAAACTAACGACAAATAAAGACTAAAAACCCAGCGCACGCGCAGGCGTACGCGCCCACGTACACGCATACACACGAGCACGCATGCAAGCGCGTGCCGCACTCACGGACAGGCCGCATTTCTAATAAATAATATGTCTGGGCTTAAAATTTACGTCCTCCAAAATTACATAAAAAGTTGCTTTGATAGCGAGAAACTGGTGCAATAATTACTAACCATGACGTTAATCAAAGATGTTAACGAAAGTTTTTACACAACAATAGTATTATGAAGTGATAGTAAGATTAAAAAGGAATTAGCTTAACCTTTAATATGTTAGTATGCTGTACTTCTGTATACAGACCTTATGTACTCCGTATAATAATCATAATTTTCATCGTGGACATTCTGTGTACGGTGCCTCTAGCCATGGGTGGGGTTTCGAAGACGGATGTCCCAGCCTGCAGCGCAGTGTTTTATTTTAGCTGCCTCGTACAGTTGCGGGGAAACTGTTTTACGAATGGAGCCGGTTGTAGAGTCGTCGTATTTATCTATCCGTAGATTATTTGTTTTTAAATTTATGGAAAAAACATAAAGATATAAAGGATATGTGATCTCGTATACTTAAAACCTGAATGAAACACTAGCAATTTAAGCCTCTTGGAAGAGGGCGAGGTGTAAGAATACAGACTGGTTTTCTGAGTGGTAGAGGGCGTCTCTGCCCAAAACACAGAGCCACTTCATACAAAATGTGAGCCACACCCATATACGATGTAATCAAGCAAGAACATCGGAGGTTGAACATAGAAGCTTAATATGTGAGTCCACAGTGTTGTTAATAATCCGAACATTCAGCAGAGAAAATAGTCATTTGATGTTTGAGAATTCAAATGCATAGATTTACTCTATTCAATAATATTTTTTCCTATTTGTTCCTAGTTTTCAGTGTATAGTCTTTTTTTATTTATACATTTACACATGTGGCAGAATCTTTTGTCCAAAGTGATTGTGAGGTCAATCTCCGCTCCCACACTGCTGTGACGCCCCCACGCCCTGGTCTCCCTCCTCATGAACTCTGACAGCTGCTCTTCAGTGTTAATCGTCTAGTTCAGGGATAGGCAACCCTGATCCTGGAGTGCCAGTTTCCAGCAGGTTTTCCATCCTACCTGGCCTCTGATGTACCACATCTGGTCTCAGAGTAACTCATCAGGATAGAAAACCTGGGGTGCCGTCTGTGGCGCTGATCTAGGGCGCTGGTCTAGGGCGGTCCATGGGCTTGAACTGGCCCTGGCAGGCACTGAGACATCAGCAGAGTACCACCGACTTGGGAGACTATAGCAATGTTTTTAATAGTGAATGAGCTGTGAATATCCCTGATCCTCCACTACATTAAACTGGTGATCATACAATGTAGTGATCTCCATTATACACAGCGTAGTCTCCATTATCCATTGGCATTGATTTTGAAGCCCTGACTAGTGAGGCAGCACTGGGAACATGCGGAAGGCGTGGACTCTGCTTATTAATGTCATGACTCCTATTTTTGACTCCTGTCTGCCTTGGCAGGTTTATCTCATTCCAAATAACAAAGGCATTGTACGCTGAAATTTCAATTATATTAAAAAACAATGCCAGGGGCCAGCGAGACATTTTCTTCTTAAAACTGTAAATGACAGTGAGTTTACGCAGGGTGTCAACCCCTCCGTTCAATTTGTTAAAGTCCAAAATCATCTGAGGTTTTCTGTCTAATGTGCTACTCACCTGATAAACTATCATGGGCGGTGCCCATGACCAGCATACTTGACCCCAAATGTGTGCAAAGGGTGTAGATTTTTAACAGTGCACAAGGAGTTTTTCTACACTGTGTAAAGGTTTTAAAACTCTATATTTGTCTAAATGCCGCCAAACTGCTGCCTTTTCCAGTGGTCTCCAGGGTTTTTTCTGAGTACATTTCTTTCTCACACCTAATCAAGGTGACATTAGTCAAACAACTGTAAAATATTTTTATGTAAAACCAGTAATTTAAAATGTATTCTTTTACTGAGTCTCTTCAACTCATTATATCTTAATTATATAAATAATCATCTGAACAAAAGACAATAAGTTGTTGTTTGGAATTCTTAGTATGTAAAACTAAAAAGTTTGAGTCCTCATAACTCAAAAACCTAGTGCAGTAAGTTGCCTTGGAATGTTAACTTTTTTACAGTGTACGCAGGGACAACTCTACAGGCCTACTGCACTATGCAAATTGTTATTGTCAATCGCTATAATTAATTATTTGACTAATTAATTTGTTAATTAATGGAAAACACATACTGTAGGGTGGATCTCATGAGGATCCAATACTGATTTTCAGCCAAGACTCCTTCTGAATTGCACCCATATATGCTTCATTTGGTAAATGTTAGTATTCAATTTTGTATTATTATTATTCTGTTGTCATTAGGTATTATTGTACTATCATCAGTATTCTCATTATTGCTTACAAAATAATTAAACATGAACAGTGAACAGTCTCATTCAAAGAGAAGGTTACCTACTGGAATTATAGGCTTCAGATCCTCATGTTTTTCTTTCTCCATAGTCCATAAAGAATTAAGTAGAAATTTATAAAAAGGCTACAAGTATGCAAAAATATTAAACTTTATAAGATTCAAGTCTTACTTGTAAGATGCTTTGGCAACAATCCATACGTGCTCACTGGAAATGGTGGCAGTGTTGTATTTGTATAACTATTTTCTTACGCTGGGAGGGTGGACACTTTACATAGTTCTATATTGAACAATATATACATGCAATATAGAACAAATAAAGCTTTATTTCAAGTGTAATTTTGACTTTTTAACCAATAAAAAGACAATGAAATTAATCTTTCTGTAATGTATATTGTATTATATAAAATGTACTTAAAGTATATTATATAAAATGTCAATTTCTTGAATGTCAGCAATAGTTTGGTTGTGAAGTCTTCAGATTTATTATGGTGCTCACGCAAATTCATTATTAGTTTTTTTGACTTGGTCCATGACAAAATTAATTTTTTAACTGAACCAACAATTTAAGAAAACGTATATGATTTTGAAGTAGAACAATATTTAGAGTACACCACCAGTGCTTGGAATTCACCTTTCTGTCACAGTTAAAGCTGCTTAAAAATGCAAAATTGTATGTCATATGAATACGCTGCATATACTGTACAGTATGTTACTACAGGTCACTTCTTTGTCTCTATTTTTATCCAATCTCACATGTTAAATTCAATTAATTCTACAATCTCAATGATTGAAGCAATTTTAAATAGTTGTCATATGCAACATATTCATAAACATATAGGGAAAGAAACATGGTGACTCTTGTACCATAAAACCTAGTTCATACTATACTTTTTCTCGTGTACTTTTGGGCTGCAGATGGTGATCTGCGTGGCAGCTTGTGTTCGTACTGCATTTGTGTTCGTACTGCATTTCGTACTGTAGATGTGGATGGTCAGGGTCGGTGCATGCATTCAGCAGTGATAATCCATCAGACCAGGAGAGGGCAGTATTGCAACAAACAGAAATACAAGCAGTGTATAAATCAGGTAAACTTTTATTAACAGTTTTACAGTTGTTAGTCAAGGCTTGGGTGGCATTACAGTAATAAAGCATACCACAATATTTTGAAATCCTTAACACAAAAGGGCTGGGACCCAAACCCCACCTACTTGGCGAATTTTGTTAACAAAATTTCAAAATGGCAGAATCGTGCGGCTTTTTAAAATACCATATACCTCAGTATAATGTCTGGACAGTATCAAAAATTAGATAAGTGAATACCTCTGATCTTCCTCATACAGCTGCTCATGTATCAAGAGCAAATAATTCTATCAATGAATCAGTCAGTGCTACCAAAATGAAAAGTATGACTACCATGAAATGCTTAGAAACGACTATCATTGAGAAGTGTGGAGCTCAGGACCATACTTACATTGACACTTTGACTATATATCTAAGTATATTGACTATCATGGTTTGAACAATGTTGATTGTACCATTTGTCACTGTTTTGCGCAAATTGCAAATGTTTTAGTTCAATGCTTGCGAATGATCTTGTACAATTGCCATTTGGTTCCCACAGTATATGATTTTGTTGCCAATTTGTTGTTCTTGTATTGCCATTTTGCTGTCTTTGTGTTACACAGTGCTGTGTGACTTTTTATCTGCTATTGAACTGTCTTGTTATCCCAAGAAATTACATGTGCATGCGAGTGCTTTCTCTTGCTAATGAACTTCACATACTGTAAGGCAGTGTTGAAAGTGGTATCTCTGAAATGCAATAACAGTTTGTTTGCTAAAGAAAAAATATCATTCAGTAACAGTGAGAAAGTGAACAATGCTGATTATGCATTTCACTTTGGTGGCACTGACTGATTCATTGATTGAATTATTTGCTCTTAAGACACAAGTTAATTGAGAAGTGTAATAATCTGGGTTAGAGTTATTATTAGAAACTATATTATACATACATACATAAGTACAGAAATACACACTAAGAATAACACTACATCCTTCCACAAGTTCTGCTTAGACACATTCTGGGGAGGGGAGGGGAGGCATGGCCTCGTTGCCATGGTAACTTGAAACACTACATCACTTTGCACTGGGAAGATTGCTTTGAAACGTGCAAAAATATTGGGCTTTGCGAACACAGAGCAGACAGCGTTGTTTTGAGAAATAAATATCTGCTGGTGTATAAGACAACTCATTTTGCATATTAGGAGTATCAGTAGAAATGATGACTTAATGTTTTAATGTTCTCATTAATATTTTGTTCTTTGATTAAGCAATTGTATAAGTTTATCAATGTAACCTTTCCCCCATTTTTCCCCTTTCCCATTTCGTTTCTGGGCTCAGAAAATGGTGCAATTTCGGTAGCATTGAGAAAACAGAATTTGGTTTAAAATTGTTTATTATTACAACTGAAATCATTAGCATAATTGGGAACATTTGTAAACCAAAGGCAATGTGTCCGTCAACAAGTCTGAATAAGAAAACTTCTTCTCTGTGCTTCTCTGTACATTGTAAAAATATGTAAATAAATAATCATTCAAAAATAATACTGCATTATAACAATTACAATGAACTAAATCTCATTTATATCCTCTTTTCTGTATTACTGAGAATGGCAGTGTATCTGTAGTAATAAGCATCACTATAGCTGTAGTTTGTTTTTAGTCCATTTTGAATTTCCTGGCAAAAGTGCCTTAAATGCCACAGGGAGACTAATTTGCAAAGGCTAGTTCTGCCTTGCTCCACTCATACACACACTCATCTCAAATGATTTAGCATTTTGGATGTTTCCAGCATACAGTAACAGTAAAAAAGAACAAACAGTCTTGCTTTTATCAAAAACTCCCATGTTGGTGTAATTTTTTGGAAACACAAAATGTTCTTATATTGCTGAGTATGCCTGACTGTAACCAGCTTTAGCAGTAACCAACTCACAACGACAATTACCACAAATGTTTTCCATGTTGAACATCAACTGTGAATTTAGGTTCTGCCTGTGTCAAGTAATGAATTCATTCTTTTCTCTGTGTGTAGCGTAACCGAAAATTCTCTGCTGAACATCACACAACAAATATGTGTACCATTACAGTCCTATTTTATATCCTAGTATTTTGTTAGAACAAAAATTGCTCATCCATATGGCTAGAAGCCATTTATCAATATATTATAAAACAATGATCCAATTACGCTTTATTGTATGAAATAGTGTCAGAATGCGTTCTGTGCTGCACTTTAATATTACTTTGTATTGAAACTATATTCTTTTTGTTTGAATGACATTATATATAGTATATATAGCACTCTACTGTACATGTTTGATCTGTAAATGTGTTTGTCCAGGAATGTATTCTGTCGGGGATAATGTCTGTAAATGGAAAGAAAATTCTACACATGGACAGGAATCCCTACTATGGAGGAGAGAGCTCCTCCATCACTCCTTTAGAGGAGGTAAGGAGAGAAACTGAAGACTGGGTGGGGGGTGTCTAATCCAAGCTAACTCATACTGCTAGACAAATTACTGAAACATCCATATTTCTGTTTGTCCCTTTTTGGCAACTATTTTCTTTGTGGTCCCATTTCATTGACACTCTTCACTAGAATTCTGTTTTTTATGTCCTCTGAGTTTGAAAAAATGGTGTATAATTTCTAGATTAGTAGGTATGCGTATATCACTACTTTGCATTTTCACTTCTGCAGCTTTATAAGCGCTTTGGCTTGACAGAAGGCCCACCAGAGTCAATGGGAAAGGGACGAGACTGGAATGTTGACCTTATTCCCAAATTTCTCATGGCGAATGGTTAGTTAGCACCTTACATAGTACAACTTACAATCGTATTTTTGGTGCACCAGTGAAAGATATAAACAGATAAAGGCTTTACCTTAAAAAAAATAAAAACTTTGAAAACATGCTAAGTATTATATACAATTTACAACACAGGTCAGCTGGTCAAGATGCTCCTCTACACAGAAGTGACCCGGTATCTGGACTTCAAAGTTGTGGAGGGAAGCTTTGTTTACAAGGGAGGAAAGATTTACAAAGTCCCTTCAACTGAGTCTGAGGCACTTGCATCAAGTAAGGCAGCATCTGATATTAAAATAGAAATGGAAAGGATAACTGTATGGTTGATTATGAGTAATTTTACCTGTTGATGTTTTGTTTTTGTGTATCCCCATGCATGTTGCTTTTAGACTTAATGGGGATGTTTGAAAAGAGAAGGTTTCGTAAGTTTCTAGTTTTTGTGGCCAACTTTGATGAGAATGACCCTAAGACGTTTGAGGGTGTTGATCCCAAACTCACCACCATGAGGGATGTCTACAAGAAGTTTGACTTGGGCCAAGATGTTATAGACTTCACCGGCCATGCTCTTGCGCTCTACAGAACAGACGAGTGAGTGGCTCATACTAGCCCATAGAGACACAAACAGTTATGGGTGTTTTTGGAAGTGTTTGGTTGATATGATGGGATTCTCTCCTCTGCAGTTACATGGACCAGCCCTGCTTGGAGACCGTCAATCGCATCAAGCTGTACAGTGAGTCCCTGGCTCGCTATGGGAAGAGCCCCTATCTGTACCCCCTCTATGGCCTGGGGGAGCTGCCTCAGGGATTCGCCAGGTGCGCATACCTCCAAAGCCTAGCACTGACCTTAACGCTGTATCCCCAACGCAGCAAGAAGTTTTCATCTAACTTGGTGTGCTAAACATGTCCCAGGCTGCACACAAAAGAAAATGTGTTATTTTTCTCTTTCAGTAAATGACAAAGATATGTGTATGACAAAAATATATCTGTTTTCAGATTAAGTGCAATTTATGGAGGAACATATATGCTGAACAAGCCAGTTGAAGAGATTGTGATGGAGAATGATCATGTGGTGGGAGTCAAGTCAGAGGGAGAGGTAAAATGAAAACGAAAACATTATCCTATCACTCGAAAAAATCTGAATTTCAAACCTCCATGGTTTGTGATTGGAATCTCACTTCTTTTCTATCTGTGTGGAGTTTGCATGCTATCCCCATGACATGAAGGCATTCTCTAGGTACTCCAATTTTCTCTCATAGTCCAAAGACTTGCAGTTAGGTTTCTCTATATCCTCCTGAGACCCAAGGAAAAAAGTGTCCTTCAATTTTAGGTTATTTGTCTTTGGAGGAAATAAGAAATCTTACAATTTAGATTTTATCAAATTCATTTTTATTTTTAATTTCACAGCATGTCCTCTTTAGTGTACAACAGGAATAAATATGTTTCCTTACATCAGTGAAAAGATAGATGCAAAAACAAAACATCCACTACAATGGACATAAATGAATGGGTGGGGTCTCAGGAGGACATTGCCTGCAGAGTATGATGGTGTTTGTCTATGTGCCCAGTGACAGACTAACATCCCCTCCTGGGTGTTACCCCAGACCTGTGCTGCTTGGGATAAGCTCCAGGCTCCTGTGATTGT